GCTGAACCACCAGCCTGTTTGCTCAGGGCAGGGACTGTGCTGATGTCCTGTCTGCAGTCAGCCTCTGTGTAGTGCAGCGCTCAGCTGGATGGTGGCTATGAAGAAATGATATGTAGAGAGGATGAATGAGACTGTGTCATCAAACAGATACAGATTTTGATCTCATCCCATCCAGCGAGGGATTCAGTTGCACAGCTGGCTGGCAAACCTCACAGGAAATTTGTTGCAATAGTATTTCAGCCATTTTTGCACCAAATTTAAGGCGTGCATGAAGTGATGCTTTGTACCTCTCGTGGTACAAAATGGAAATGAATTATCACTAATTGAGATTTGAAATGGCTTTGCTTTTTGACAGTTTTGTATGGTACTAAGAAAAATACTTGTCTAGGAGGCATTCTGCATATATTGGAATGGAAGGCTTTCCATGTCCCTCATGCAGACTGCTGCTTAGTTAGAGCTGGCAGAATACCCTTCCTCTCCTTCTGTGGCATGGAAATGCAGAGGGGTAGCTGACTCCAGCATTTAACGAGCATCTAGTCAAATACTGTATGTCCAGTTTAATAGCTTATGAACCTTCTTTATAACTATATAATACAATGAAGGATTTAACATCATTGTATTGTAACAGTACAGAGAGAGATAAAACAGTAAAAGCCAAGAAAACCTTAAAGTTCTACCAAATCTTCACTATCATTTAACACTGCAACACTAGAAAGGAGAAATACAGAACGTCTTTAGGAGAGAGAATTACTGTATGTTCTCTTACTGTATGTTTTCTGTCTAATGTAAGTTCTACAAGCCTGTGTTACCTGTGAAATGAAATGTGTTTTTCAGCTGCAGTTACAGCTGACTGAAGCACTGTGAAGTGCTCTATGTACGTATTCAGATGAACAGTTTCCAATAAATCAAATAAAAAATAATTTACAGATTGATCATTATTCTGTTCTAAGACCAGGACAGATAGAAATTTATTTCAGTAATATATCTCAACTTCAGAATGAAAGGAGAAAAAGCATTAAGCACATCTGACATAGCATGAAACCTTAGGGAGCGTGGTATGGGACCAGGCTTGCTTAATGGCAGTAGAAGTTCTCTGCCAAGAATTCTATAGTCACAGAAGAGCTTTACCTGTACTGTATAAATAAATGCATTTCATAACTGAGATGAAAATGAATATCCATGTATGGGAATATTAATCTGTAGAATGTCATCTTTGTCTTGAAGGAGCTCTGAAACAGTCTGTAATCTATCTTTGAGAAAGGAAGGAAGCTTTAATTTTGGAAATATTTTGTACTTGAGAGAGTTACTCCTTTTTGCTTCTTTTCATGGCAGAGACACTTTGAAGAAGGGAGCTCAAAAAGCCTGTTAGGTTGGGAGCTCTGCATTTGCTTATTTAGAGCACTTTCAAGTAACACTCAAGTTTTTAGGCATGATAACTTTTTCAGCCACAAGAACCTTGTCTGGGTAGTCATAAAAGGGCTTCTGTTAATCTTACTTATGTATGAAGTAGAGAATATGATTGTGTTGGGTCATTTATTGTTCTGAGAAACACCTGGCAGGAGTCGAGCTATACAGTACAGGGCAAACCAAAGCTTTACCCCTTAAAAAGCATCTGGAGGCACACAGATCCTTACCAGAGAGCTTATTCATGTCTTCTGCTTAGAAGCCAAACCTAAGCCTGAACTTCCTAGCAGCCACATAGAATCATAGGTCACTTCAGATGATAAAGAACTGACCAGTTTCTAACAGTCTCCCCTTCTCCAAATAGGTAATTGCTGCATTAACCTGCTTCTCCCTCTTCTCCCAATTATCAGGCTTCCTGCTTTAATGTTCCCTTACATTTATTTTCTTGTAATCTTCATGTTCACACACAATGCTTGACTCCCAGAGTTACTGGAAGGGAACAGGGAGGTGGGTGTAGAGGAGTCAGAGATGTGCAATATTTAAAAGCCTGCAGTTGGAATGTCACTTCTGGCTAATCAGTGATGTCAGCCACGAGTTTAAACAGTGTAAAATTTACTTGAGTGATCCTATTGCCAAAACACATTAAAATCTGGGATTATATTTATATTCTGTGTAAGAATAGACTGAAATAAATTATGTGGGTGCCACAAGAGTGCATTAAAATAAAAGAGCTGATTGTAAATCTAGGGATTACCTGAAGGGAGTTTGAGGGAGAACCTATTGAGAGCTATTTAGAAACTGGTTCCTTTTAAAATGAAGGCATCATGCATTGTAAAGTAACTTGCATTAATTATATTTCTGCTTCAATTTTAGGCTGTTAATTTGCCTTTCTAAGAAAAATATTTCTAACTATAGTGCCTCATCTCTTTCTAAGGCCACTCTAGGGTGGAGGCTTGAATTAACTGTGTTACTGCAAGTTGAAATGTGAGATAATTACCAGGAGATCTGGGAGAAGTGATTTTAAGGGTACAGGTCTTTGTTGTACCAGAGTTCAGGTCAAAGATGATGATAATATTTGATATGCTGGATGACATGTAAAAGGTGATAGTTGGGGGGTTTAACAAATTGTGATTTCCAGGGGAGTGAAGAACAGGGATAACTGTTCATTAAAACTGTGAAACCATTCCAGGTGTCTGTCAGTCATCTAAGACTGCTGTAAACCTCAGTTATAGCTGAGATCTCCTCGTAAGTGTGGAAGATCCAGGATGCTACAAGGCTGTACTTTTCTGGAATGGCTGGAGAGGCAAGACAGGCTATTCTAGAGCATCCGTAGTACTAATAGATGAATAGATTTGAGTACCTGAATCTCTTCATCGTATGCTATTTCAGCAGTAGGATAAATATCTGCTAGGAAAATATATAGCTTCCCCCTCTCACCCCCCATTAGAGCTGTTATGATCAGCAGGATCACAATTTAGTGTGTATATCTTTTAATCATGAGTTATGGCAATACTGCCAAGTTGAGTTTGGTGTAGAATTTACATTTGGCAAATGTGAAGTGTTATGTGACCTAAGCTGCTAAAAATGTATGTAGAAACACAAAAATCTCATGACTATTTAATTTATTATTATTTCTTCCTGGAACTCAAGGGGAATATGAAGCTTTTTAATTGTAGAAATGTGGTGGTTTCAGTAGAATAGATAAAAGCTGGTTTAAATTATTTAATGTGTCTTCTTTAAATGGAATAGTATAATAAATTCTGATAAAATCTACTTTCTAGTTCTTCATCAACATGGAATTTTGAAAATATATTTAGCAGTTGGTATTTAAAAAAAAAGGGAAAAAGAAAAAAGCCTTTTGATGAACTTAAATCCTTCAAAATTCTGCAAATGGCAATCTGGAGTTAAAAGATGAAATCATATTTAACAAAACTAAAACTCTAAAATTGTAACAGTTACAGCAAATCTCCACTGGAATTTGAAAAGACAATTTTTCCAAAGCTTTTCTGTGTAATGTGTGCATCTTTGCCTTTTCCTTATTTGCTCCCTTTCAACTTTTCCTGTTACTGACTTGGGTTTATCTTTTCTCCCTTTAGAGAGTTTTGAGGTGACAGTCACCAAAGAAGGTGATAAAGGGTTCTTTCTATGCCTTTTATGAATATTAACCTACTAACTTTGGTTATGAAATGGGGAATCAGCACTTAAACAGAAGATCCTGTCATGCTCTTTTGTCCCATTTATTCTCCCAGTTTTTTTCTATTTTAAAATATATTGATAAAATCTGTATGTAACCAAACCCTTGGTTAGAAATATCTGTAAATCAGACATCCATTTGAACCACCATTATTGTACACTGTATGGACACTGAAGAAGTTGTTTTGGGGCAAATTAGTGTTTTCTGATAGCTTACTTCTGTGGGACATCTTTTCTTCATATGCTTTGTAAAGTAATATTTAATTGCTGAAGCATTATAACACCTTCCCTGCAGTGTACTTCAGTAGCTTAAAATCTGAAATGAAATACCTTTTATTGAATACGTGTAGCCATGTTTACAGCAGGAGTGCATCCTTGGTACTATGGTACCACTGCAGCTAGAATAGCAAAACAGTGGTTTATGTTGGTGTAAGAAAATCACCTTCAAAACACAAGTTACACAGGTAAAAACAAAGTATAGGTGATCAAAGTGTTTGCTGAGTGCCTTTTGTCAGCACAGCTAGGTGTGCTAGGCTCACTCCCCATAATGGGCTCACAGATGGACCTAGTGGTGCCAGCAAGAAGTCTTGTAGTGTCATCTTAGGTTTAGATGTGGTTTAAAATGATGTATTTGGTACTTCCCTTGCAAGTTTGTTAGGATGGAGAGTCTGAATAGAAGGGAAAGCCTACTAAATGTGAGAGCTTCCTTGACTAACAGATTTCGTCTGTGTTAGTAGATAGCTGTTGAAATGGATGCCTGAGAAGTTGGTATTTCTACCTTTCTCATTCAGTAGTTTATTTTGATTCCCTAATTTTAGCCAGGTACATTGCACAGGAAGACTTTGTTCTTTGATCTGTTGACAGAATTTCTGTAATTATGGTGCTGAACCTGTACTTGAAGCTTTTTCATCCCTTGACTTGTAACTGTGCATTTTAACCTTTTGCTCTGGTCAAAATGAACAAGCTGCCCAGCTATTCCCAGTAGCTTGGCATAGAAGATATTACCAGTGGCCTTGGCTGTATGCTCACATAAGATCTCTTACCCTAGAGCTATATCAAGTACTCCTGTGAAATGCCTGTCTACATTTCTCTTTTTCTCTTTTGTATTCCTGCATGAATGGATGCAAAGTAAACCAGTTGCTTGGAAGGCAGACGTATGCTTCTTTTTACTAAAGTTCCCAGAAATCACCCATCTTAAAGCACAATGCTCTTGCTTTGTCCACAGACCCTCACAAACCCTTGGCTGCAAAATATTTGGTCATTTATTTAAAAAACAAACAAAACAGAGGAATAATTTTGACCAGTTCTAACCTCTCTTACTTTGAATCTGTAGGTGAGATTTGTGGATTTAAAATTCACGGGCAAAATGTTCCCTTTGAAGCAGTGGTAGTGGATAAATCCACTGGGGAGGGAATAATACGCTCTAAAGAAAAGCTTGACTGTGAGCTACAGAAGGACTACACATTCACCATACAGGCCTATGACTGTGGCAAGGGACCAGATGGAGCAAATGCAAAGAAATCCCACAAGTAAGTAAATCTGTGGTGGGCTGAGGGGAAGTTTGGTTTCAAGCAGTCTCCTGCTCATGGTGATTTATGGTCTGTGTATTTAGAGCAAATGTAAACCAAGTGTTACTACTGGAAGACTTTAATATAATGGTGATATAAATAGCAGCAAAATGAGCGTGAGCTGTTTTGACACCTCTTTAGCTGTATTCTCAATGATCATACAGAATGGTTAGGGTTGGACCATAAAGTTCATCTGGTTCCTGATAACTGCTTTATCTTTTGATGTCTCTGAATTTGCATTAGAAAATAGCGTGGGGATAGAAGCAGGAAAACTGCCAATATAGTTCGAATCCATCTAGAACTGATATAAAGAATTTGCATGGGATTCTAAGCCTGGACGTTGTTCCAGAATTCAGTTTCTAAAGCCAAAAACTGGTTCAGGAGGTCAATCTATATTAAACTTGCCAAAATGGAAACAAAAACATGTTGCTGTCATTTCCAGACAGCCTCGCGGAAAAAAGCCAGATCAATAGCGTAAGTTTCATCTCTGCCTAGATTAAAGAATGAGAACAAAGCAATCTTCAGCTAGTCTTTATCTAAAGAAGAAACCACAATGTAAAATGCTCTTTAGAAAATCCACTTGACAATAACTGTTTTAACACCCTGGTGTAAACATCTGCAGAGCATGTGGAAGATTACCATCTGTGTGAAGCAAAGAAGGGCATAAATAAGATGAGGAATAGACAGCAGCAGTCATCTTGGCGACAAATACGACCTTGTTACTCTATAGCTGTGTGCTTCAAATGGCAGAAAGTTATCTCCTTAAGAATTACACTTATGGAAAACTCTATGTGATATTCAGTTTGACTTTTGTAGAAAGATTTCAAAGAGACAAATGGCAACAAATGTTTTGTTGGGTTGGCTGGAACTGTATGATTTGGTTTGTACAGTTCCTTCTCTGCGCTGTGGAACTTAGCTGTGTTTTTCTGCCTGTGCTGGTTGAGATACAAACTTCTGATAAGTCTAGTAAAAATTATGGTTATCCAAATTCATGGCTGTGTAATGAAGCAGTGCAGATCTGGCAGCATGCTCTGCAACTCTTCTTTACCCACATCAGGAATGATGGGTTTCCAAGACCTGCACCTACAAATCACTCTGGAAATTTCCCTGGCTCAGGGCTGTCTGTGTTTTTTTTGTGGCTCTTAATCGTCTTGGGGTTCATAGGATGCCAGACTGGTTTGGGTTGGAAGGGACCTTAAAGCTCATCTAGTTCCAACCCCCTGCTACGGACGGGCAGGGTCACCTTCCACTAGAGCAGGTTGCTCCAAGCCCCATCCAACCTGGCCTTAAAAGTTTAGCTTGAATTTAGCTTTTAAAGTCAGGACTATAGAGCTGTTTAGTACAGAAGGCCATTTTGTTGTGGCATTTATTGAGCACATAGGATAAAATAAGTCCTGAAAGACTTTTGCTTTAATGGAAGGGTTGTAGTGATTGAATTCTTTATTAGTTTACATTCCATCATTCACCTTTTTTTCTTGGCCATTGGCAGAAACTGCATTATTTTCCTATTCTATATATACCAGCAATCAGTGACAAGTGTGAAATGATGTAATTCAAGCTGCAGTGTGTTTAGGATAATCTATCTTGGCTATATGATGTGTTAAAGTGTTTCTTCCACTTCTGTGATTCTTCCATTTAAATTTCATTCCTGCATCCAAGAAAAAAGCCAGTTTTCACTGACTTATACAGCTCAGTACTTCATTGGCCAAAGCAAGCTGATCAAATGCACTTGACTGCACTCTTATTCTAAGACCAGTCTTAACTGTCATTCTTGTTCACATGAAATAAAAATTAGGTGTTTATATCAAGTACTCTGACAGCAGGAAAGAACTAGAAAGATTGTGCTGTTTTAACAGAAATAAAAGCTTGTTTTGTCACAGCTGTATTTTGTTGTATTTCTGTAAAATGGTGGCAATTTAATGGTTGCAATACAAAGATTTGAATTTCATTTGCAAATAAACAACAGTAGTAAGCAATAACCTGGAACTACACTGAATTACATAGCAACACACTGGGAAAACATCCACAGCTTTTCTCAGGGTGGTCGAGACTGGTAGTTTTATTAGTCATTGATCACTTTGTTCTGGGAACTGAAATTCTGAAGGATAGCTTCATCTGTACAAGAGGGAGCTGTTCGGTCAGATTCCCTGCATTAATAGGAATTTGCAGTATATAGGAACTAACCTTTCTGTTTTATTTCCAGAGCAACAGTACATATTCAGGTGAACGATGTTAATGAGTATGCTCCTGTGTTCAAAGAGAAGTCCTACAAGGCAACAGTTATTGAAGGGAAGAGGTACGACAACATCCTCAAAGTGGAAGCAGTGGACGCAGACTGCTCACCTCAGTTCAGCCAGATTTGCAGTTATGAAATTGTAACTCCAGATGTACCTTTTGCTATTGACAAAGACGGTAAGAAAACCGTGTGAAATGAAGTGGGAATTACTATAATCTGCCACCCTAAGAACAGGACTTCAAACAATTCAGCTTAAAACTGCAGCAGCCCTGGTTTAACCCTTTCCTACAACATAGTTAAATGGAGGTGTTCACTTCAGCAGTTTTATAATGAAAAGTGGGATGTCTTTCAGTGCCAATAACATGTGCTGTCTGCTGATGTCAGGAGCAGATGGTGTGTTGTATGTGTGTTATTTCTTGTAAAATGCTTTTCAAAATACAGGAATTCTGGTAGCTGTATGATGTTTTAAGCCAGCTTCTAGTCGGCTTTTTTCCCCAGCCCTGTAGTTTTCTATTCTGTATTAGGGTAGCTTTAAAAAATGGGATTCCATGTGTGCTTCTCACATTTGAGATGCTCATATATGGCTCTGGAGATTATCATGGGTATTGATTTTTGAAGTGCAGTGATTTGTTTAGGTCGTTCCTTTCCACAGGTGATCTGTGGACCTTTCAAGATCTATAGAACTACTTCTGGGTATTCAAGCAAGCTGATTAAGCAAACCAGTTTTTAGTGGGTTTTAGTTTGAGTTTTTTGGGAATCCAGTGGATAATTTTGGGGAATTGCCAATGGGTAATTGTCATTGGCACATGTCAAACAATTTATGTATCGGTTACCACCTCTGAACAGTTTTGTTTTGAGTAATATGCTGTTAAGAGTCTGATAAGTGTCTTTCTGCTGTTCTGTGTATGTGTGCTCATCTCTGGATTTATGTAATTTTTAAGGATCTGGGCCTGATGCCAGGCATTGAAAAGTCAAATAGTGAAGAGCTAATTCACTCCAGGTGTGTCTGTTAAAGTCTTGGTACCTGTATAAAATACAGAGGTGGTACCTGGGTGTATTTAATGTGGCAATGACCCTGAGAAATGACTAGAAATTGATGTCTGATTATTGCTCTTTCTTTTTTTTCCCTTGTGTCAGGTTATATAAAAAACACAGAAAAGTTAAACTATGGTAAAGAACATCAGTATAAACTGACAGTGACAGCATATGACTGTGGGAAGAAGAGAGCTGCTGAGGATGTGTTGGTTAAAATTAGCATTAAGCCTACATGCAAGCCTGGCTGGCAAGGTTAGTTACATCTTCTCCCTGTCTGCTTTTAGCATTTGCTGGTACCTTCAGCTAAACATGAGAGACTGTTAATACTGTTTCTTTGTATAAATATACAGGCTGGAGCAAAAGAATAGAATATGAGCCTGGTACTGGTGCATTAGCTCTCTTCCCTGGTATGCATTTGGAGACATGTGATGAGCCAGTAACCTCAATTCAAGCAACGGTTGAACTAGAAACTAACCATATTGGTAAAGGCTGTGACAGAGACACCTACTCTGAGAAATCCATTCACAGACTCTGTGGTAAGAATGCTTTTGTTCAGATGAAGTCATCTCTCTGGCTTATTAGTTTTTCTTGTACTATTATTTTCGACCGCAAATCAGTTGAGTATATATGGTCTTCATTGGCACGTAGTTTCCTCCAAATTTTTTTCCTAGCAGGCAATAAAAAGCATGAAATTGGCTGGAGGTAACAAAGTAATCTCAAATGCAGTAAAGAATCACTTTCTTCTGCCTCTCCACTAGCTTATATAGACTAGTAATTTCCCTCACTTGAGATTCGTGTTCAAGAGCTGAAATAATTTTATATGTAAGGAAGGGTTTAGCCATTAAAACCTCTGTGTTTTTCTGGGGCTTGATGATGGAATCATAGAAGGGTTTGGATTGGAAGGGACCTTAAAGATCATCTAGTTCCAGCCCCCCTGCCACAGGCAAGGACAATGACGGATGTGAAGGATGCAGTTAAGAAATACATGGTGAAAAAGTGGATGGAAAACCAGGAAAGTGCTTTGGGAAGAACAGTTTACTTGGATCAGTTACATTTATACTGTGCTTGTTCTGGGAATAAAGGGCACCTTGGTATCACATACGCTGCAGTTAAAGATCTTATGAAAAGTTTATGAATCCTTTGTAGCCAGTATGGAAGAATTGAGATAAGATGAATTATCACTGATGATTTGTGTCTTCAACTCCAGTTGAAGTTAGATGAAAGTATGAATATGATGTAACTCTAGAGACCCAGGCTATTCCCTAATGAGATCACTGTGACAGTAATGATTTTAAGCTTGAAAAAACAGCAATCTGAGTACCTGCTGGGTATCATTGCTCCTGACTGTGATATTATTGGGCAGTTATCTGGGAGGTGATGCTTATGCAGCCCTCTTCAACTGGATGGATATTAGTCTTACTCTAGTGTACTGTTAAGAGAAAGGCGTCACGTTCGTGGGCCTGAGGGACAAGTGGTATTCATGTAATGGTTCTTGAGATAGAGGCAAAATAAGGTTCTACAGCTGCAGAGATAGTAAGCAAAACAATTCCAATGAGATTAGTTGTCTGCCCAGAAGTTAAATTTATAGAAGTCATTGTGACTGTTACATGTTTCTGATTAATGCCACATTATTTAAAAGGAGAATTGCTTGATAGATGATGGTAGTGCATAATCCTGATGGTGCTGAACAATTAGTGCTCAGAAAAACAGTTTGGCTTGAAACTAGCAGTGATCATTTTAGTTTCTACCTTTTTTCATTTGAGTGTTTTTATTGTAGGTGCTGCTTCTGGCACAGCTGAGCTTCTCCCACCTCCAAGCAGTGCTGCTAACTGGACAATAGGGCTTCCTACAGATAATGGTCATGACAGTGACCAAGTCTTTGAATTCAATGGCACACAAGCTGTGAAGATTCCAGATGGTGTTGTCACAGTCAATCTAAAAGAGCCCTTCATGATTTCAGTATGGATGAGGCATGGGCCTGGAACCAAAGAGAAAGAGACAATTCTGTGTAATTCAGACAAGACAGGTTTGTCAATACTTCAACCATAAACAGTCTCATTGTTGGGTTGGGTTTATGTGCTGTGGCAGCATCTGTGAGATCCTTAATATTTTTTCTCTAGGTTAGGTTTTTCTTGGAAGTGAATTGGATTGTGAAAGTCACTCTTTCTTGTGCTTATCTGTAGGCATGACTTTAGATTGTCTAGCTTCAGATTAGGCAGACTTGTTTTTCTAATTCTATTTCAGTTTACATCATGCATTTCTTTTGCTCTGGTAGATGACTTATCCTCACAGCGCAGTCTTGGTTTTGCATCTCCAAAGATAGCCTTTTTCTTGATGCTGCCTAAAATCATTAAAATACATATTTCAGGTTTAGTGACAGCATTTGTTGCTGTATCTTTTTTCCAAAGAGGAGATAATTTCTCTCTCTCCAGTGATGAAATTTTTGTTCACCCTGTGCATAATCTCAGTCTCTGTGAATGCTGCAGACACAATCATTTTGGAGATGCTATTAGTAAGAAGCAAATCTGATAACCCTGTTTCCATAGCTGCTGTCTAATGGGGGTAAAAGAATTCTTGGTTTTGTTAGCTGGAGCAGTGGATTTGTTCAGTGTATTAGAAAGATAATTCATGTCAAATGCTGCTGGGTTTTTCAAAGGAAACTACATTGAATAGATTTTAAATTTTATCTGAAAATAAGAAATATTTAACAGTATTTTTAATATCCTAAAAACATTTATTTGACCAGGAGAAAAGTGACTAACATGCAGAATTAGGTACAGATATTCTCCTCTTCTTCCCTGCCTTCACCTATTGTTTTTAACTAAAACGCATACCTTTGAATTCATGGAAGTGAATGAACTGGAGAAAAAAGGCAAATTTAAATACAGCTTTTCCTGTTTCAAGTACACGGGAAGCAGACCTTCAAAACAAGCTTTCCTTTTCTATTCCTTGCTTTGACCTTACCATATAATTTTGGCAACAGAGTTTCTGGTACTGCAAATATCATTTGCCTTCATTTCAATGGTATCTGATGCAATATTGAAAGACTGGAACTAGATTTGTTAGAGGGAAGCAATTTTGACGGTGCTGCACTGAACAGCACAGTCGGATTTAATGCTGTCAGGCTGGAAGATCGACATGATGTTGGTATTTTTTTCATTCCCTCCTTTCTTGCCTCCTTCATGCCATGGAATGGATGGTGTAGCTAGAATGTTTCTTTTCCCTTTTCCTACCCATTTCTCTAGTATTTCACCTTTGTATTTATTTAAAATGATCAATCCTTCAGAGCTACAACTGCATAGTTTTCTCTTAGGAAAGCATGTCTACCTGTCACCATGTGTACATGTTCCAAAACAGTAACTAGATGTGATAGAAGCTACTCACTTGTAACAAAAATGCTCCTTGTTTGCAAACAGAGCTATTTCTCTTTCTCTCCTGCTGACAGGCTCATCTGTGACATGTCTATTTATTGTACAGTGCATTACTCATGGGTTTGTCAAAGATGTTTGCCCTAACTACCATTACAAATGTTTTGTGTTCCTTTTAAAATGTCTGATTTACTTCTGCATTTGCTTCCTCCTATCAGTTACTTGGGAATTTATGTATGAAATTGCAGAACAGGTGAATTTTGTGAAGTTCTTAAGGTTTACAGAAAAGAATAATGCTTAATTCAAACTCTCATGCAGATATGAACCGGCACCACTACACGCTCTATGTGCACAACTGCCGACTTGTTTTCCTCTTCCGCCAAGATCCTTCGGAGGGAAAAACATACAAACCTGCTGAATTTCACTGGAAGCTGAATCAGGTAAGTTTGGAAGGACACTTGGTAGGATGTTAGAATGTAGTGAAAGCCATTGGAAACTAAACTCCCTGATAGTATAAGTATTAACAAATGCTTTTAGCAACTCCAGACTCCTGAAGTCATGTTTTATAGAATCCAACAATAGTTACTTTATTGGTGATCAAGCGTCAGAGAGAGATCCAGTTTCACCTTTTCATCTTGAATATAAAATACTACTTCAGTGGTTTTATTAAACCCAGTGAAACTCATGAATTGAAGTACAAGTCATTGTCCTGAAAAGTAGGAAAATGTGGATTTATATGTGAAAATACAATGTCAGTCTTTTAGCTGTGACGTCAGTTATCTTCACTAAACACAGTATAAGGTAGTGCACATGGGAGAGCAGGAAGTATTCCAGATTTTAGCATTAAAATAGCATAACAGAAAAACTTACCTTCTTAAACCTTTTACACACTGAAATAAAATTGGTGACTCTTTACACATTATGGGCAGCAGCTACAAATCAGGCTTCTTAGTTAGGTTTTACTCCACAAAAAGAGTTAATAGGCCTCTGAGAGATGCAGGTACTTTCTGCTTCCTGTTCAGAGAGAGGAGTTGTCTATTTGTATTCTTTCAGTCATACATACGTAATTATTTTTGATGTAAATGTGAAGGCTGTGATAACTAATCTTGATTTTGGTCCTGTTAAGAGCTGCAGAACTTAGTTCTAGGAATTCATTATGATCATGAAGACTGAGACAGAAGGAACTGTGCTTTTCTAGCCCTCTGGAGCTGCGTGATAAAACACTGTGTATCTGTAAATTGATAAAGGTGGTTGTAATTGCTTTAGGTTACTGTTACAGGTCGGTTTTGCCAGTTACCTAAGTAATGAGTTACTTTCTAACATATTTAAGGCTATCCTATTTTCTGTGCAGGGCAGCGTTTACTGTTTCAATGGTAAAATGCCCATAGTCCTTATGGGAAGATTGTTACCAAAACTCATCAGCTCTCACAACAATTCTGTTGTGCAAAGCGCTTTTCTCTTCAAAATAGTCACATTTTTCTCTAAACAGTCCCTCTCAGCCCATACAGGCCCTTTGTCAAGTGTAGTGGTATTATGACTATTTCAGAAGGTGCTTGCCTATAGATACATGTTTTTAAATTGAAATATGCTGGTATTAGCTATTATAAAAATTAATGGAGCAGAACTACACACAGCTTCCAACATTGGCAGTAGAAGAAAAGAGTTTATAGACCTTTGGCAGCTGAGACTAAGTATGTCTGTGTAGGCTTATAGGTCATTGGTGTATATACAAAATGAGTATCAGATCAGTTACTCGACTGTGATTAAGAAACAGAATTAAAGTTGAATTTTTAAATCTGGCTTCACTCAGGTGTGTGACAAGGAATGGCATCATTATGTTGTCAGTGTGGAATTTCCAGTGGTAACTCTCTATGTGGATGGGGTTTCCTATGATCCTTTCCCGGTGACTGAAGATTACCCACTTCATCCTTCAAAGATAGAGACGCAGCTCGTAGTTGGAGCGTGTTGGCAAGGTAACTATTCACAATTGTCAGTACTTTTAACTTCTTACAAATGAAATCTTTGTGGTCGGCCTGGGAGTACCTGTTTTGTCTTCTGCAGATTATTTTTGCTTCTAGTTATTATCACATATTTCCTCTTTTAGTCAGTTTTACCATGAGTGTTTTCTTGCTTGTTGGCCACAGATGCGTGTGAAATACGAAGTTATTCACCAGGCACATCCCATCAAAGTGATTTTTGTGGTAACCATGGGAATAGAGATGGCTTATTTTTAATAACAGTTGTAAAAGGGCATCATAAGACTTCAGATTACTAAGCAGAACACTTAATTTCAAGTAGGCTGAAAAGCATACAGTAGAAAGTGTTCTCATAAATGGAGGCATGACCCACAGACAATTCAGCTGAGCAACACAGTGATGCTGTCTCTTGGATATTTTGCCATTTCTGCTTATAAAAATAAACATAGAAAGCATCTGCTTTATTGTATGCAGACTATGGCTTAAAACACAATATTCTACAAATTGTAGAGTGCTGATTCATGTGCTCTTGTACTTGTGAAACCTACTCTTCAAAGCTTGAGAAAAAGGAGAAGAATGCATCTGAGCTTGGATGCTGATTATCAGAGATCTTTGTAACAAAGGTCTTGTTTCACAGTCCTGAACTGAAATGTTTGCTTGCTGATTAAATTACACCCTAGCTGGTATAAAGCTGATCTTTCTGGTCAGAGATAAAACAGTGTTAAATCATTCATGTTTTATTGTAGTTCAGAATATAGGCTGTAGTTGCAGTCTGCAGTAGTGCATAGAAGTAGCTTGTGAATGAATGAGAAATGGAAAGCTTTGAGTATTTTAATCTAATTAAGAGTCTTCTGTCTTATAATGTCTGTTTTCTCTTTGAGTTTTAAGCCTTTGAAGTGTGAATGAAGGTTAAATTATCAAAAATATCATCACCATCAAATTTACTACTTTGTGGCAAGTTTTAATGTTATCTCAGTGCTAAATTCATTCTGTTGTCCCTTCCTTTGGGTCAGTTATTTTCCCTATCATTCATCTCATTTTGTTTGTGACTTTCCAGCTACCCCTTCTAATTCAAAGGGAACCTATAGTAGCTGGTTTTCAAGAAACTGGAGCTTGGAATGTCTGTTCCACCTAAGTGTATGGATTGTCTAATGGCTTCCACATATGTTCTGCATCCTAATAAAAGCATATACATTTAGTTTAAAAATTGTGCTTTCATATTGGCACAATTATATGATTCTTTAATTTCTTATGACATGAATTTTATTTTTAATGAGAGCAAACTGAAGTAGGAGCATTAAAAATCTGTAATACAAGAACTTGAGTCTGATTTTTAGGAGATTAGAACACAGAGGGGTGAGGAAAAGGATGCCAAAGTAGTGAAGTTACTGCTTAAGGCCATCCTCTTTGTCTTACCAAGATCTGAAAATCAATCAGGCTGCTCTGAGTTACAAACACAGCTCACCTCTAAGGAGAGAGAGATTTTGTGCTTTTGAAAAAGTTCTTTTGACATTTCTTTTAAAAGATTAAAAGCTGTTTTTCACTTTCAGTGTTTCTCCCCCGAGACACTTCCATCAGATAAATTGACTGCTTAATACAGATAATACTATTATGATAAAAATTCTGTGTTGGTAATGGCTGGTTTTGATCAGCATTTAATACCTTGTGGTGATTTGCTGATGTAGGCTGGATCTCAACTTAAATTCCCCTTTAGTAGTTAGGAGAAGAGAAAATCAATTGAGCTACTGGATAGGTCTGTATCTCATCACTAATAGTGGTTTGTGTGAGAAGCGTTCTCCAGTGGGACTGGTTTTACTGCAGCTTGTGTATGGGGCTCTTCAGGTTGTCTTATCATGAATGTTGTATTCTCGTAATGACATAGTAATGCTTCTTCCCTGCATTGCAGCTATTCATGTTGCAAACAACTTGAAATCCTTGAGTAGCTGGGTTGAGTATGAGCAGACTTTGGGGGGGAAAGTGCTGCTTTGTATTTTCTGTCGTAAGAGAGTTTGCCGAATTGTAACTGTTTGGACCTTTCCCTATTGTCCTATTCTTTGTCTTGCTTTTCTACAGAATATACAGGAAATGAAAATGACAATGAAACTGTGCCTGAGACCTCTGCAGGTTGCTGGAGTTTTTTCCCTACTGTTTTGTTTCATTTTTAAGCCAAGACATTGCTTCATCTCACACGCAGCATGAAATGCAGGCATTGCATTCGGGCCATTGACCTTCACATAATCCTCTCCTAGGCTTGTTTCTTCATTGTGCTTCTATTTCCAGAGCTTCATCAGCTGATTTTTTTTGCTTTCTTTTTATTCTTTTGGTGGTTTTGGTTGTTGTTTTGGTTGCACACAAATGCACATCCATGTACAAATCTGCAACCATTGTGATTGCAGTGAAGTGGTGTAAAAATTGGTGGTTGTAAAATAGCAGCTATAATGTCTTTCAGCCAGTTTTGTTAAAACATAACTGCTCATCCTATGTAGAGATATATACGTAGGTATGTGTGTGATCATAGAATTATTCAGTAGGTTGGGAAAAACCTCTGGAAGTCAGGTAACTGCTCCCCACTCAAAGATTGATTTCATATTTAGATCAGATTGCTCGTATATAACTCATAGACAGACCTGGAATTTACAGTGGATACTCACTTGATCAGAAGTTGATATAAAGTTCTAATTACAGTGAATGGGCATAAAATCTTTGGCTCCCAGGTATTTCAGGTAGGCTACAGAACTGTATTTTCTTAGGAAGTTTTACTGATAGTTCAGTGGATTTTGTGCCTTGAGTTGAGACACTTAAAATCAGAGTGTGTTTCTTAAAGTGTGTTCAAGATACGTACTCTTTCTGTAAAGTTGAATGGTCTAGTTGGGAAGAGGTTTCTAGCTGTGCATCACGTTGTAATTTGGCAAGGACGCAACAGAATCCAGAGGGTAGAAGCTGGAGCTCTGTAAATCTAAACTGGAAAATAGATGATTTGTAACAGGACAGTTCACTACTGAGACCAGTATCGAGTTATGGCAGGGATCTTCTGTCACTTAGAATCTTCAAAACAAGCCAAGACATCTTTCTGAAACTCTGGTAGCTTAGTAAGTGATGACCTTGAAATCCAAATTTCTGGGTGGTGGTTCTGTGGCCCCCATTATTCGGCAAGACGGACTTGGTGACCATCGGAATGTCATCTTCAGAAAGTCTAAGCAATGAGGAACTTACTGGGTTGCAGTTCATCAGACTTCAGTATCTAAAAGGGAGTTACCTGAGCTTGAACTGCTTGCTTGAGTCCATGCAGAGAAGGTGGCACCTTTAAAGGGGAGCAGTTAATTCTTAGACACCCTTTTGAGAATGAGCTGAATCACTTTGTGAAGTTTCTTTCTATCCTTTGTAAAGAGAGTTTGTGATGATCCGTTTAGATTTAGGTAACATCTAGAGGAATGATGTTGGCGTTTTCTATCCTGATGGGTATTGCCCTTTTTGTAGGGAACCAACTAGTGGGAGGTGTTACCTCAATATGAAGATTCAGGTTTCATAGTTCATCTCATTGGTTCTGTCTGTGCTTTCTGAAGAACACCACCTCGCTGTATGGGCGATGCCATTTGAAATGTTTGTTACAGACATATTAGCCTGAGTTTCACAGTTCGAGATGGCCCCACGTGTTTTGAAGGCCATATGCATGGGGAACTGTTGAATTCTTTCTTTATGCTTGAACATAATCACAAGGTTAACACCCAGTATGGATGTTAAAAACTAACCTGCATGTGTATAATACTTCTGTGGTACCAGACGGCGTATTTGCTGTTCTACAGAAGAAAAGGCTGTAAGAATCAAAGCACGTAAGGATTTTTCCTTCCTCCCTCTATGAAGGTGGTGAACTCCGCATGGCTCAGTTTTTCCGAGGCAATCTGGCAGGTCTGATGATCCGTTCTGGTAAACTGGAGAACAAGAAGGTCATAGATTGCCTCTACACTTGCAAGGAGGGGCTGGATTTGCAGATGGCTGATGGCATTGGCAAAGGCGTGAAGGTAAAATTGCATGTGAATAAAGAGGAGTGTGTACGTTGCTTTGCTGATAATAGTTGAAGGTTTTTGCTGACAGAGCTAGTAGGGGCGTCCCAAATAAAACAAACTAATCCATTGTGACATTCTGCATTAAAATGACATGGAAACGAGGAAATCTGTCTTGTATAGACATGGTCTTAGTGGAGTTTAAGAATGAAAGTTACTGTATTGTCTTCAAGTCTTGTAAGCCTCTGTTTTAGCAGCTATACCAGTTTGACTAATAAAAGATATTCTTAAGTCTCATTCTACTAAGCTGCTTGTTATCTCGCATGCCTTTTTTTAGTAGCAGGGATATGTGAACACAGCTAAATTTCTCCTTTATATTAGCTGTCTCTCTTCCATATTACTAGAATCCATATTACTATGCTAAGTGCCTAGGTGTTTTTTCCTTAAAGAATGAACTACTAAATCTGTTCCACTGAAATAAGGAAGTGAATAGGGAAGGTGACTGTGTACTACAAGGCCTCGTGTTTGCAGGCTGAAGCAGTGCTGAGCTTCCAGTTTTAATTACAGCTCATGTTACTGTTGGGGCATTCTCTTACATTCTTTTTCTGTTATTTCAGATCCACATGAACCCAAGTCAGTCAACACTGACTGTGGAAGGGGATGACATTGACAGGGTTGACAAGGCCATGCAGCACATTTCCTATCTGAATTCCCGCCAGTTCCCAACACCTGGAATTCGGAGGCTTAAAATCACCAGTGTTGTCAAGTATGTCCTAGTTCTGAAATAACGTGTCACTATACAGTGATACCAAAGCCTGAACAATGTTCATATATCTCAGTTGAGATAAATAAAGGAGTCTTGTTGTATGTAACTATCACACATTTGAATACAGCAAATGTTTTCTGCACCAGCATTTTGTTTTCTTCCTGAGAATGTAGTAAGGAGTGTGTAAGATAAGGAGGAACTTGCTGCAGTGGTATGCTGTGAGCATGTCTCCAGTATTACAGCCTTCATTAAAGGTGTTATGTGTGGCTGTCAGTCATAGCGTTAGAAAATGGGCCAAATGTTAACTGTAAGTAAAAACTAATTGAAAGATTGCTCCCTTGGTGCAGAATTCTTACTTTCCAACACAGTTGATGAATTTATCTCAGGCTCTTGGGTCAGAGACAGAGCTCTTCAAACATTCATAAAGCAATTACCCTGCGTAATTGTGCCTTCCTCTCCAATAGCCTCCTTGACTGTGCAAAACTGCTTCTGTATCTCACAGATGTTTCAACGAAGACGCCTGTGTCTCCATTCCTTCTGTGGAGGGATACGTAATGGTCTTGCAACCAGAGGAACCAAAAATCAGCCTTAGTGGCATCAACCATTTTGCCCGCTCTGCTTCAGAGTTTGAGAGTTCTGAGGGTGTTGCCCTCTTTCCTGAGCTTCGCATAATAAGCACCATTACACGGGAGGTGGAGCCAGAGGGAGATGGAGATGAAGATCCTACAGGTAACATCCTTTTCTGCTTAGGACTGTTCCCTAACCTCACCCCATTCAGCCATCATGTTGGGGGATCTTCTTGCAAAGAGGTGTGGGTTTCTCTTTTAATACAAAGTCTAGGAGGGGAAAAGAAGCTGTAGGTCTCATGAGAAGGTGTAGATGCTCTGCTCTGGGCTGACAAAAACCTGCCTGGAAATGGTAGTAACCCCAGGCCGTTACCTTCATGTGAATACCCTTGTTTGTATCTGGTATATATTGTAGAATGATTATTTCATGAATCCTTGCTCTCCTAACTTCAGGCCCACCTCTTACTATTTGCTCTGTCTTTTTCTCTGCATTTCAGTACAAGAGTCATTGGTATCTGAAGAGATCATGCATAACCTGGATACGTGTGAGGTGACAGTGCTAGGAGAGGAACTGAATCAGGAACAGGAAAGCCTGGAGATCGATATGACACGATTGCAGCAGAAGGGCATCGAGATGAGCAGTTCTAACCTGGGCATGATAATCACAGGTAGGGGTTGCTACTTCTGGTGGTCTTGTAGGAAGGGTTTGAAGACAGTGACAGCTAGAACTATGTGCTAGAGAGATGGTTTCTAACACCTTATTCCAGATACTTTGTGACCAGTTTCAAGCTCAGATGTGTGACAACTATTTTGTGGAAAGCTGTGATTCTAGAAAATGCATCATTCTAGAACCTCCTTTCTGTTCCCTCATGTCCCAAATTGCAGGTTACTTCTGGTCTGTAGAAATGAAGTGCACTTGGCCCCAGAAAATGCTTGTTCCTTGCACAAATAGTCCAGGGCTTAGCAGCATGCATTATTCCTTTCGAGTTTATATTCAGAATACACTAATGTTCTCAAAAGAAAGGCTCCCAAAATCCCTTCGAAGTCTCAGTAGGTCTAGGATTTTATCCCAAGATCAATCCACAGAATTTCAGTGGAGCCACATACGTGTGTGCCTCTGGTGTTACCTTTCTTCTACTAACTGGAAATCCGTCAGCCAAGAAAACTTACTTAAAGGGAGTAATATTGGTGGGGAGTATATGATGGTGGACTAGTCTTTTGCACAGTAATTGTTGTACTTGTTTATTTCTCTCCACAGGGGTTGATACGATGGCTAGTTATGAAGAAGTTTTGCACTTGGTACACTACAGAAACTGGCACACTGCTTCCCTCTTCGACAGGAAGTTCAAGTTAGTCTGTTCTGAGCTTAATGGTCGCTATGTCAGCAACGAGTTTAAAGTGGAGGTATGAAAGCTGTGATCACTGAGAAGTTTCAGAGTGTGGATGGCAGAGAGGAGGGAAGCGGTTGCCTCAGCTGATAGATAATTGATCAATTATTGACTTGGATCTTTTGTCCTGTATCTTACTTAGAAATGTGTTCTTAATCCCACATTTCAGCTTTAAATAGGGCTGCCTAAACAGGGGTTGGCTGGTATGGCTGATGGAAGTGTGAAGGTGGAAAGGTTGAATTGGAAAGACAGGATGTTAATTTAGCAAAGAACTAGGAAATAGAATAAACGTGGTGCTACCAGAAACTGTGTGGCCTCTATGTGTGACTTCTGGGATTCTGCAGATGAAATTGCTGGGCTATTTAGCTTGTTGGGATGTTTAGATTGCTAAAATTGCAACTTTGTCTGCAGTAAAGTACAGGCTAATTATTATATAGTGTGTCTATATCAAATATAGGGAAGTCCAGCAAAGATAACATAAAGGCTGGAATGTGAAGTGATTTATATGGAGAGGAACTGTCACGTATCTCTGCATCTTTCAGCTATGAGCTTGAATTTCTACCCTTTAAAGCTGACCAAAGGGGTGGCAGTGAAGTTAATAGTGTTTACCATTAGGTGGGTGGTTGTGGTGGGCTGGGGAGCCTCCTGTGTTGCAGAATAGGAATCTTTGTGTGAAGTAATGTGGGTTTGTTTCCTGAGGAAATTCTGTGAGCTCGAGTTGGGATCTAACAAACTGTTGAACTGCAAATGCTTTCCTTGTCCTGCAGCAAACGTGCTCTCTTCCTGTTGTGCAGCTGCTCAGGTACCCTGTATCACAGCGTTCCACTGCAGGAGGGTATATTTAGCTCTGCTTGTTTGGCAAGGAAATGTGCAATGTGCTGTGCATATGATGAGCTTGTGGTTGTTCCTAAAAGCCAGTGTGGGTTAAACTTGGAAGAATGGTTTTATTCTTCTTAACCCTTTGACTATAATAAGGATCTTTTTCTTTGCTGTTAGCTGAAGATAGACAGCAGAATGAGAAAAGATGTGAGAGAGGAAAATGTAATGAATGTGTTACAGATCTTTCTAGATGCTGTTACTTCAGGATTAAAATGGCTGGCTATCAAATTTGATTATAAGATGGCTTTATCTGCTTTAAGCTGAAGTACTGGGGTCTGTACACAAACTAAAACAGATTTGAGAGCTGTGAAACTGGAGGGGTTTGTGGCAAGGAATTGTAACTCGAGCTACTGGTGGGGATGGGTATCCCCTGAGACAAGCCATTGTTGTGTTGAAGGAGAATTGGATGCCTGCTCTGAGAAGTCAGATAAATAAATATCTCTTTCTTTCTCTCTCCAGAAGTGAACTGTTGCATTTCTGGAGCTTAATGTTTTCTTCCTGTTCCTAGGTGAACGTCATCCACACCGCTAACCCAGTTGAACACGCCAATCACATAGCTGCACAACCACAGTTTGTGCATCCGGTGCACCACACGTTTGTTGATCTCTCTGGTCACAACCTGGCTAATCCTCACCCGTTTTCAGGTAAGAAGTCTCGGTCTCTGCACTTCAGCTGTGGGTTGTTTGGTATTAAACTGTCACAGAGGCTTCTGGCTGCAGAGAGGTTCTTTTTCCCAGCATTTAAACCAGTGTGTTGCACTAATAATCTGAGCGGCTTCTCAGTCCTGTTCTGCTGCTGCCCAAGCAGGGAGGGGATTACTAGAGGTCTATGAAATCCTTTTTCTTCCTTGGAAAATGAGAGGTGTACTAGTCTTGAGGGGGCTGTAAGAGCTAGGTAAAAGGACTGTGAGGAACTGGGGCAGTATTTCTGCTGAGCAGCATGAGGGAAGACATGCAGATACTCTTGATGGTATCTGTCCTTTCTGGTTTAATTACATTAATTTGGCATGGGTTTGGGATATGAGAGGAAGAAAACCAGGCATTTTAGAGAGGAATCTCTGTGTGTATGATGGCATCTGCTTTCCATGTGTTGTCAGTCCTTCAGACTGATGTAATTATACTTAAGGAACTAAGTCTTAGTTCTTAGTCTCCAACTGCCTTTTTAAGTGGCCTCAGCCAAACTGCTTCTGTGTAGCTCCATCTGTTTGTGTAATGCCATTTCCCTCTTGCAGGAGCAGAGGACTAGTTACTAGCATTGTGTAAGTTACTTATCAACATCAGCTGAGCAACTCCTTTTATTTTCTTGTTGCAGTCGTTCCAAGTACAGCCACTGTTGTGATTGTGGTTTGTGTCAGCTTCCTGGTTTTCATGATTATCCTGGGGGTGTTCCGAATCCGAGCCGCACATCAGAGAACGATGCGTGACCAGGACACTGGAAAGGAGAATGAGATGGACTGGGATGACTCTGCTTTGACCATCACTGTGAACCCCATGGAGGTAACTCTGGTTTCTTGGCCTAACCTAACCTGACAAAAACCACTCTTTTCCAGCTGTAGTGGGTGTGATGGACACAGTGGAGCGAAACCAAGTGCTGAACACGCCGTAGAGACATGATCTGAGAGTTTTTAATGAAGTGACAAATGCCAGGAGCAGTTGTGTTTGGGATCTTGCAGGGGTTATAGCTTCATGATGCCTAGTTGGGTTTGCAGGCCAGTGTCCAACACTGGTGTTCATTGTGCTGCATTAACACACTCTGCTTTTTTCCAGCTGCAAGACTTTATTGTTGGAACATCCATGTTCATGATGTTTCTCCTGTGGTTGACATCTGAATTTAGGAAATCAGGAACGAGATGTGCAGCCTCAGTGCTCCTTGTGTGACTTTACTGGAAGATCTTTTCCAGTAGAGTTTGGAGGACTGGCTCACACTTCAGAGCTAGTTTGTTCAGTGTGACAAAGCTGTTTTAAAGAGCTCTTCTTCCTTTACCTTTCCTGATTGCCTAATTGCTGCTGAACTCTGAACCCAGCAAGGATTCTGTAGTAGCTCTTTCTCAATATGGTGCCTTGTGCCTGAGTTCAGAAGAATAAAAAGAATTTTGGCCAGTAAATCAACGGGTTGTTTCTGTCTTAACAGACTTACGAGGATCAACACAGCAGCGAAGAGGAGGAGGAGGAAGAGGAGGAAGAAAGTGAAGATGGAGAAGAAGATGACATCACTAGTGCAGAGTCTGAAAGCAGCGAGGAGGAAGAGGGAGAGCAGGAGGAGGACCAACAGAATGTTAATAGACAGCAACAGCTGGAATGGGATGACTCTACCCTCAGTTACTGAATCTAGCTGTTCCCTTTGTCTTTGTGTTTCTGCTCTAGAAGACTCCACTGTAACACACTCCATTGTTACCAAGGATTCATGGTGTTTAAACAAAACAAAATCCATTCTGGCCAGTAGATTCGAGCCCCACACATCCCAGTGTTTGTGTTCTGTCCGCTAGTTCCTGATGCTGTTCCTAGAGCCGTAGTTAGCCCCTCTCCTCCTTCAGCCATGCCTCAGTGACTGGATTTGTTTTTACGCTATGTGAGGAACCACCTTGCACTTTTTTCTTCATGTCATCTCAGCTGGGTGACTCGACAGGTCTGTAGCCATTGCACATGAATTTCTGAACTGTCTTTTTTTTGCTCAGTGAAACGAACTTGGCTTTGTTCCTATTTTCTCTTTCTAAAAGATGCAAAGATTGCTTGTTGACAAAGGGTAAAGCTGCTCATTTCAGCCTGTTGATTTCTTTTCTTTCCCCCAAATTAGTGCATGTGTAAAGTGGCAGAATGAGGATAATATGTAGAAGATTAACAGACTTTTTAATATTTTGTAAATATCTTGGACTTATGTAATTATGTCATTTGTGGTAGTGAAAACAGGGATTTGGGGTTTCAAACATGCTCAAGTAAAGCAATCATGCAGCATGAAATATTACAAGTCTTGTACTACTGCAGCAGGAGCACGGGCACCGTGATCTAGTGTAGATGTTTCAGTAATACAGTGTCATTGGCCTTGACTGCCATGTTCGCTCATGCCCCGCTCTGGTCTTTCTTTGGTTTTTCTTTCCTTTTCTTTAATCTCCTTTATTTTTGCAGAGGGAACAGACAAGCTGGTGAGAAACTGTAAAAAGGCTTCAGCAACCTCTGCAGAGGCTCAGCTGCCCTGTGCAATACAGTTCAGTTTTCCTTTTCTTTCTTCTCCAGTTAACTCTTGGCACGAGGGTGTTTAAGTTATTGGGGTAAAAACACTACTTGGATGGTGGCAAAGCAGCGTGTGGTTGCTGTGGTGGGTGGCCACAGCTCCTGTTCATCACAGTGAGGCTGTCTGTAGTACCAAGATGGTCTGTCTGTACTGCGGGCAGGGGGTTAGGTGTTTAGTTATGGATGTGTTGGCACCTGAAGGTGGGAAGCCTGAGACCTGTGTGCCTGTGCGCCGTGGCTGTGTCTGCACAGCTCGGTGTGCTGGCTGCCTGCGTTGGGGCATAGCTGATACCACTCGGTTAAACACGCTCCTGCTCATTCCCTGTAGCCCCTTGTACAGTAACTTGGACTGTTGGTGTGTTAAGCCTTTGTTTACACTTAGTAATTGTGTTTTCCTGCTGGTGAAAAACTATAGCATAAATTATCCAACCAGAAAAACCTTGGGAATCATGTTAACACTATTCCAAGTGCAGATGATTTTGGTTGTTTCTGATCAAAGTTCTAACTTGGAATTGCAAAGGACTTTTCTAAAGAACTAGCTGAAAGGTACGAAAAGGAGGTTGTGGCCCCATGGTGGAGAGTGCTGGTGGTTTTTGCAAGGCAGGGCTTGTTTCTTTAACTTTATTTGGTCTTATGCAGAGCCTTGAATAACAAATATCTGCTTATTTGATTTTTACATTTGGAGGTGGATTAAAAAGAGTAACTTGTTTTGCTTGTGACAGGGGACTAGGACTCCACTCGCTCCTCAGCACGGTAAGCAACATTCCAGTTCTTGCTCTTGTCTGTAGTCTGCCTCTGTCTGTGGTGCGCAGCCCATGTCTCTCAGCAGGCCAGGCAGGGCCGTTGTGCTGGAGGAGCAACAACAAGCCAAAGGGTGGGGTACAGAGGGTCATAAAGGCTAAGGATGGATCCAGATCCATAGTTCTGATGTTCAGAGCAGACCTACTCTCACCTAGCGCTGTGCGATGGGATCTACCAGTGGGTTTTAGCTGGGGTAACGCTTGACTGCGGAGTGCCTTTTCCAATAGTAGGTGGACCTGGAAGCAGGGAGGAGAACCCACACCAGGAGCTTACTGGGTTTGGGGGTTGGTTTTGTTTTGTTTGGTTTTTTTTTAATGTAAAATTTTAGATTTCTAAAATGGGGAAATGGTTTTGACTACTTACGTGGTAATATAACTGCTAGTTTTAAGTAAACTGGGAAACTTTTAACTTATGTCTGACAGTTGTCCTGTGTTAATGTGTAGAAGACTTATCCTTCCATATACTGTTGCTGTAGCTGCTGTATTTTAGACCAAAACTGATCATGACTTAATGGTAATGCTGAAAGGTTGTAAACGTCCGGATGCAGTTTGTAGCCACTGTGGGTATAACTTTTCAGATGTGTATATTGGTAACAGGTCAGTTTGGAAAGTCTATAAGCTACAATAAATTTCTGGTTCTAAAGGGTGTTTGCATTTATTTCTTGCTGAATGGAACAAAGTTGTGTCAAGTTACATCGAACGTGTGTTAATTTGCTTCCCTGGTGGCAGTAGGGGAGTTTTGTGCTGGTTGTGTTGAGCTCTTAAGCATAGAAAGACTTTGGCCACGTGTGTACAATTTATCAATCATCTCTTTTATTTCTTGAGTTACAAAACATGTACCTAAAGCAACTGAAGGTTGAACATGTAAACATTCTCTTCTTACAGAACCACAGGTTGGCTTAAAAAAATACTTCTTTTTGTCAAAGGCAACAGAATGAGCACAATCAGTTTGTACAGAGTTAACAAAAATAACACAGAACCATCTCTAAATAAATAGAACTAGAAAGGGGCGTCATTCTGAGCAGGTTTATAAAACCAGAAGCTGCTTATTTATAGTGAAATGTCATAGTTTGGAAAGTGATTGAAGTTTTGCTCTTCAGTACAATTCAACTATCAGGGGGAGCTGCTGCTTTGTATGTTTGGAGTCAGAGGCTCTCTGCTGACCCAGCGTGTAGCCATCGGGCAGGAGCTGCTCCAGTGGTGGATGAGGAAGTGCTTCCTGCCAACTCACCGGCCTGTTCACTTCTTGCAGGTAAGTCCATTTTCTAGACTGAGTAACCTCTCTGTAAAAACATGCTGGATCGAGAAACACCTTTGGAATTGCTCAGGTTTTGCCATTTATACTGCCAGGGCTTTGTTTTATTGCACTTCTAAAATGGAAGGACAGATGCCAAGAGCCACTGCTGCTTTGTGCTCCTGTGGAACTATGCGAGGGCCTGAGGGGTCTGGACACGGGACCAAAACAGCAGCCGTGAGTCTGGACACCACGTACCAAGCATGACTAAGGAGCCTTAGGGTGGCACTGCCTCCCTGCACTGCCACAGGCAGGATCCTGGTACTCATTTGTGGCAACTTAAGAGAATTGCTTTTACATGTACACAGCTGTGTTTCTTCCCTTCCACAAGAATCTACTGACCACTGATGAGGGGGTTGTGGTTTCAGTGCATCGCAGCTTGCACGGGGCCTGCTGGTTTTGCATGCTACTTGCTCCGTAAATCAGTTTAGTAAGGAAGGAAATGGCAATTTTTATGTATTCTCTAAAATGGAGTAAAGTTGTGTGGTCACAGAGGACTCTGCAAGCAGACAGTGTCTGGACACACCACCCCAGGGGAGGAACACGGGGCTGAGGTCAGCCTCTCCCTGCTGAGGGAGCAGTGATTCAGGCCAGTGCTGTGCTGTTCTCTCTGATCAGATGGCAAGAGCTCTGAATCCTGCAGTAGTTTCTAGTATCAAAACTCCTGTTAGAGCCTGAGTGTTGGCCTTTTCTTTTCCTTTTTGCATTTCCTATTTAGTATTTCAGGAGGATCCCACCAACCCTACTTTATTCCATAATTGCGGCAAATTTTCTATCTATCTATTCCATTAAGTTTGGGTCTCCACAAATCTGGCTGTTAAAAAACCCAAGGTGCACAACAGCAAAGACTCACTGTTGGATGGATGGAAACTTCCGCATTTGGTAATGGATTGTCTTTAATTGGATCTAAGAGATAGAAGCATCTTCCTACTCCTAATTTAACTTGTGGCACCCAGCACCCTCCAAGCCTGCGAAGCTCGAGGCTGTGTAATCTGGCACAGGGAAAGAAAATGATACTACTTAAAAACAGCTACAAAAATAGGTTCCTCTCATAATTTGTTGACCAGTTTAGTTTCATAATAACTATATACTTCTAAGTAAATGATGTGTTTCCTGCCAGACAGTTGGTACACGTTCACCCACTGCTGTTTTCCTAGTGTTTGGCTCAAATGAATAGTCACAGGGAGACATGAAGCTACCTCAGTTCCAGCTAACAAAGTGGGGTCTGAACCACAAAGTGCAGCAAACCCAGTTACTGCAGACATACCTCAGTGCTTGCTGTTAAACAATGTGCTGAGGAGCTGTAACAGAGGAGTGTGTCCGTAAGTAATTTGGATCGTTTAGAAGCGTACATACCATTGGGTCCTGAAATGTCCTGGCCATGTCTCTGTGACAAATCGCATCATTTGAAAGGCGTAAAAGAAAAGGGGAGCTCCAAAGGTTATAGAGAGAAAATGAGCTGTATCTGCTGCTGCTGGTAATGGGTGCTTTGTGAGAGGCAGCCTGGTCTATATTAATATATACAAACCAGTACAGAACAGTCTTACGGCATAAGTAAATGCCTTATGAATAGAAACAGTAAGTACTTGAAATCAGCCTTTAAATTGGCTCCAGCATTGCACTGTATGTGAATCTGCTGGTATCTGAGGATTTAAGAACAAACAGGCCAGTTCAGTCTCTGTCCTAACCATGATGGTTTCATGGGAACTTCAAGCCAGACATGAAAGGTAGATTTACAGGAGGGAGTAGTCAGTCCATCATTGGACAATACATGCACCTCTTGTCACTTGAGAAACAGGCTCTGAAATACCTGGTGGGTTTTTTACCTGCGTAAGAGTTTAAAAGAACAGTTCTGTTCTGAACCTAGTTAAGGGGGTACAGATCAAAGAGAGTATTCAGCTTCAGGGGTATCCTGAAAATGAGACTATACCTTAAAAGGCAGGAATGGAGCACCTCCATTGGAACCTGATGTTGGGGAAAGGGAAGGAAGCCCCCCAGGGCGCTGCTGAAGGGAGCAGGTACTAACCAGATACTCTACCTGTCTTCCAGCATGACCTGCAGGCTGCAGCCTGCTTGATGCCCCTGGCTGTGCTCACGTGGGGCAGCAGTGGCTCCTTTCATCTGTCCCTATGTAACACCAGCGCTCAGAACTGCTCAGGTGAGGATAGTAGCTGGAGACAAACATGACACACGAGTAGAAATACATGATTGATTACAGCACCTTGTGGGAGATGGGACAGACTCTGCTTGGGAAGGAGATGGAGGCAGTGGTGAGAACAGGAAGAGGCTGGTGGAGACTGTCCTGATTTAGGTACTAGCACAGATGACCACAGGATGCTCTCTGGCTGAACCCCCAGAGAGACAGTCCAACAAAAGGAATTGTTACCATGGTTGAAAGGAGGAGGAGTGTGGAAAGAATAGGGAATACATTTGTAAGAAGATGAGAAGGGTTGTTGCAATGGAACTCCCTGTAAGGGTTCAGTGTTAAACCCACTCATCTGGCACCTCTCTGGCCCGGCGCAGGAGGGCAGACTGGCCAAGTAACTTGGGGACAGAATGGCAGCATCTGTCCCAGCTGACACTGGAATTACAGTGTTACATCCCAGGGATCCTGGAGGTGTAGACCAGTGCCTGTATGACTGGGAAACCAGACTGCAAACTAGCTCTAGTGTACCCCAACAGGAGGTATGTGTAGCGACCACCGTGACATGCCCACGTGATAATTCAGTCGTACTGTTTTCAGACTTAAAACCAGAATAAATGCAGAAACCCTGGAACTGCTTGAGGCTCAACTGAAGTCTGACATAGGAAAGCAAACAAAAATACCTAACCCCCTGGCCAACACACAAGCCTGTGCTGGTGGCATCAGCTTTTTGACAGCGATAGGTGAGTTCCAGTTCAGTTTCAGAACACTTTGGCCTCTGTAGCAGGGAGAAGGTAATACAACAACATGGACATTTTTACACTGTCACAAGGCAGAGTAAAAGAATTTGTCCCAGTCAGCATGAGGGATGATTTAAGCTGACCTACCTTGATGTATACTGAAAGTTAATGCCTCTGAAAAGATGGGCTATAGTATAAGAGCTACAGGGATAGTAGATTCTCAGTGTTCAGCTATTTGAGGATATACAAATGTACACATTACCACGCTGGAAGGATTTTACAAGTGCCTGAACTCTTCCACTAGAAGATGTATTTGAAGCTTAATGAGTTCCGACGTGTACAGTACCTCTACCTACCTGTCACTGGATGCAGTGATTTTATTGCCTCACTTGTCTCTCGTCCCCAGAGACCTACAGCAGACACGATGATGTGGCTGGTGAGAGTCCACCACGTTTTCAGTCATGCAGCAATGGCTGATGTTGGGGGGCGCAGGTCAGGGATCTTCAACACGCAACATCCAGCAGTCTTTAGAAACCTGGCTGCAGTTGCTGGCCTCAGTGCAGGTATTACATTCTCTAGGAGCAGGTGTGCAGGCTGACACTGCTCTACTGTCTGTTGTTTTTGGACACGTTGTGTGCCAGCCAGTTCACTTTGGTTTTCCAGCTCTCCCGCAGGGCTTCGTTAAACTTTAGTCTGAAGTGCTTCAGTGCCTCCTCGTCTGTTTTCCCAAGAGCCAGGGAATCCTGAAGGGAAGAAGCAGGAATCAGTGTGGCCTCACTGGAAGTGCAACTGAACAGTTAACTACTAAAATGCTTACTCACTAAGACATTACTCCATTGAATGGAGCACTGTGTGGGAAATGAGGAGCTGTTAATTGTTTTTAATAGTTACTGTAGTAACATGGTAAATAAATACACGCATCCTGCTCTTAGCACATTGTACTGAGCTCCTGTCTCAGCTGGCCAGGGCTAGGGTGTTATAATTTAAGAGGCAAGCTGGGAACAGAAAATGATACACAACCAAAGAGCTCTGTCTGCTTCCCTGCAAGCTGGTTCTACAACGTACCTACTGCCTTTGTACTGTAGAATGTGAAGCTACATCCTCAGCGCCAGTATCTGGCATTTCCAGTGTGCTGCACAGGGATGTTGGATGTCTACTCTCCATTTTTGGAGCTCATTTGCTTCTAAGAATATGTCCTTTCACACTGAACTCCTCCCCGAGCTACAAGAGCAGGGATCCAGTTTTAACTGTACCTGGGCTCTGCTTCTCTTACCTTTAGATACTGAATGTCTTTAGAGCAGCTGAGTTCTGGCAGGCCGGCAGCTTTCATCAGTGCAAACAAGTGCAGGAAGAGAAGCCCGTGGCGCCTCAGAATCATGTAGGCTTTTTCACAGTAACCCCTGAACCTGTTCAGAAGGGAAGAGGAGGCAAAGGGGTGAACACTACAAGCTCTACCATTTCATAAAGCAAGGCTACGTGTTAGTCTGAACCCTGCTGTCTGTGCTGATGGCTGCCAAGCTCTTCCACCTTCTCCAGTGGGTAAATAATTTATGTACTTTCATGTGTACAGGCAGCTGTGGGCTATATAGAATTGGTGGAAATAATACTGAAAATCAGAGCTTAAGAAGCTGAGATTTAACTGCTGACACTTACCTCTCAAACTTCTCATTGTTGTTAGTTTTGCCTTGCTGGATGACATGCACAAAGTCATAGGTTAAGATGAAAGGAACTCGTTCTCTGTTAATACCAAATTTAGTCTTGAAGTTCCCCAAAAAGTGTCCAAAATCAATATGGAACAGCTGAAAGTAAGGAAGAAAATAACTGGTTTTAGAATAGCATCTATTTTGGGTGATCAGTGTTGAGGTCTCTTCACTATTACGGTATTCAAAAGATACCATAGGATTTTATGAGGCAGAAAAATGACCTCTCCTATGGCACTCCTTTGGGAAAAGAGGCAGTATTTACTTGCCAAGATGTTTTCTGGTGTAATTCGATGTTGGATAGGACAGAAAAGCTACTCATTTCTTCAGTACTTGATATATTTGAAGAGATTTCTGGGTTTTGTGAAGCCTTAGTATGTCACTAGTAGAAGCAAACTGAGAACTAAAATGGGCAGCACGGTGCTGGGTAAGATCTCCAGTTTTGAAGTTACTGCAAAATACCACTCGTTCAGGTAAGGCTTTTCCCCCCCTCTTTTTATCTTTTTAAATACCAAGCACAGTGAAGCCATTGCAGCACCAGTGCAGTGATGGGAAGGAGGATCCTCTGCAGAACGTTGCGCACCGAGGCAATTTTGGGGAGCAGCTGTAAGCTCCAGGTAACAGAACCCAAATTGAGCACTGCAGGGCATCAGCTCCCCCAAGTGGATAGTAAGTGAGTGGCCTCTGCTCTGCAGGCACAGTCTGTAACCTCCCTGCCCAACGTTTCTGACTGGGGAGAACAGGCTGTCCCAGATGAGGGCTGCTGCTGGTCACAGCCAGGGAGGGACATTAGTGTCCTGGTACACAGCGTCTCTGTCCTTGCTGTGACCCCAAAACCAAGGCTTTCTTTGACCATGACTGTTTGATTTAGGGGGTCAAGATGCAGAGGAGTGGGATGCTACACAGGAAGAGTGCAGGCAGTTGTGTGTACCCAAGAGCTATGAGTCTCAAAGCAGCCAGTTCCTTACTTTCCCATATTAACTACCTGGCTGACTTCACCAGACCTGCAGGAGACTCACCTTGCACTATCCAGCACAGGGTTGTTCTAGGCTTTGTATAATTGACCAATTAAACAAGAAAGATAACAGCCTTCCCCTTAACTAAAGTATCAGTGATGTAGTTTAGCACACAACCTGTTATCAATCAAAGGCATTTTCTTCTTCCTAGTTTTGCCCTTTGTCTTCCAAACTGTACAAGAAGATATAAACTGGTAGCTGTTCTTGTGGAATAGAGAAGGAATCGGTACAAGTATCAGTGTGACATTAAAACCAAGCTGATCACTTGCACTCATTTAAGAAACAAAACAAAGTAGTATTTTCCTAGGAGGAAGACTATAAATATATCAGCTTGGGTAAGTAACTGAGGATCCTATCTAGCAGCTACAAGCAATTTGTGACTCTGCTGAAGCCAAGTAAGCCTTTAGACTGGTAAGTGCAGTGCTTGAGTTTCTGCACATAAATCAGACACGAATGTGCACAGTTTTATGTCTCCACTGTAATTTCAGAGTGGGTGTTAACAGCAGCAGCTGATGGCAGCGATGCTCACAGAATTGGAATTCAAACTATAAACTGTATTTATCCTCTATTTGAGAGTATTTGCCCAGTCTGCCTCTTGGCTGGAAGGTGAGGTACATTCCCTTAGCATTAGGATTGCACTGGGATGCATCTATCCATTGCCACGTAGCATTGCTGCCCCTCTTGCAGTACTTGCACAGCAGCAGGCAGCCTCATACCTGTCCAGTTTCCCGGATCATGATGTTGTCACTGTGCCGGTCACCGATCCCCAGCACGTACGTTGCCACACAGTACCCAGCGCAGGACAGAGTGAACTCCTCTATAGCCTGCTCCAGTGCGTCGCTAAGGAGGATGAAAAGAAGCTGGAATGAGAACTGTACTTTGAACCCCAGTACTTCACCCCAGGAAGGTTGTTTTTACAGCGTCTGCCACGCAAACCTGCAGGAGAAGGGAATGGGGTGCTTGAATTTCCATAGGGCTCTCCAGGGGCAGAACTCCCTTCCCTGCTTTAAAGCTGCAATAACAGTGTCTGTAATTGGAGGGGTCCAGACAAGGTTGTGTCCAGATCCTCAACAAAAAATGGTTTCATTTCAACTCAGCTCATTTCTAGATCTCTACATATGCAAAAGACAAAGTGGGTTCCTAGAATGATTCCTGTTGCTGCCTTGTTCCAGTGGAATAGCACTGATGCCTGCTTCTGTCTCTAGTAAAACCCCAAGTTACACCACTCTTGTGCTGCTTGCTCTCTTCACCTCCCAGTATTGGCATCATTCCTTCTGCACCTTTTCCAGCTGCCACCACAGTATCTATTTCCGAAGAAAGTAATGGGACCAATGGGAAGATGAAGGTTTGTATCCAGCCACCTTAAAGACCAAAAAAAGCTTGCCAACAGTAACCCAGTTGCCTCCATGTCTGCTCAAGACCCATGCAGATCCACATGATGCCTTCTGGTGTGCCAGGCACTGAAGCAGCTGGATATTGTAGGACAGCTTAGAAATAAGCATAACTGAAGGAGAAAACTGAGCAAAGCAGGACATGTCTCTAGCTGGAAGGAAGCAGTAAAGCAAGGTAAGGCCACCTACCCTGGGTTCTTGGATTTCAGCCAGTTCAGCAGTGCATCCTTGTTGAAGGCTGCCGTGGCCACCATGTTGCTCTTGTTCAGCTGGATGTTGGCGATGGTGTCTGAATGCATGACTACTTCTATCAGCCCAGTCTTGTCTCCTGTGGAGAGGCAGCCATAAGGGGTCATCCTGCAGAGATGAAAGAAACCCTTCCACTGAAATCTTGCCCAGAAGGGGGATGTGTTGACTTGCAAGCTTTCCCTTGTCTGCTCCTTAGTACACAAAACCTGACCAGCTGCTCCCAGAATACTAGACAGACTCATCAGGGACAAAAAGAGCTTGCAGACCAAATGGCCTTACCACATAGGTTATGCCATCGCAGTAGAACAACTGTGTGCACGCTACCTCAGATCCAGGCCCTCCTGCTTCCATAGGATGTCCATCAACTGGATCATCTGCAGAGTCAGCATGTCCTGACGAAGATCTGTGCAGCATTACAAGGGAAAAAAGGGTCGTAAGTACCTCCTGTTATCCTCTCCTCTTGTGCTCTTGTAAGTGGCACTTGTTCTGCCCCTGAAGCAGGCTGCCAGGGGGGCCTCTGCACATTTGTCACTAGGTCTGGCTAGTAAAGAACAGCAGCAGCCACCAATGTCTACTAGTGCAGTAACAGCACAAAGCCACCATTCTAGATGCCTTAACTCAGACATGACTCTACTAATGGAGGTGAACGCTACTTCACTTTGCTAAAGCTCTTCCCATAGTAGTCAGTGTAGCAAATCTGAGTCTGGACACAACAGTGAGCAGACATGCTCCAACCCTACACAGCTTGGAGTGCAGTAGCTCTTTCAGACCCCACATCAGGTTTTCACTGTGCAAAGGTATCCAGCTACTGCTGGGCTAAAGTCTTAATGAGAAGGGCAGGAAGTGAAACATGGAGAAGAGTTTATGTATCTCCAGATTACTATCAGGAAATTCAAGCACATTGATGGTCCTCATTTACACAGCATCTTAATGGTCCACATCTAGGCCCACTCTCCACAATAAGTATTGAGACTATAATGAACACATGTCCTTGGCAGACTCACCATCTCCATTTTTGAAAATGATTCCCACTCCACCTCCACCTGTCTCTTCGTTATTAAACACAATCCATAAAGGCTTCATTTTGGAGTCCATAAAGGTGCACTGATCCACACTAGAGGAAACACAAACATCACCACTGGGGTTTCCATCTATTAAAAAAGCAGCCACTAAGCTCCAAATTCTACAGCAAATGCTCACAGATTGGGGACTTCCATGAGAAAAGGAGATGTTGGAGTGACCAGAAGCCCAGCCCTGCTGCTGCCCAAAGCCTGCAGCACACACTAAGAGATGCAGTAACTTCCTTACCAAACTTCAGCGAGGATAATGTTGGGGTTCAGAGGGGACTGGAGGTGGGAAAGTGCTTCAAGGTAAGTTTCCTGCTTCATGCACACGTGCATCATCTCCTTGGTTTGAGGCTTGGTGGCCTTCAGAGAACTCGCTTTAACAAAGTCATTCAGAGCTTTCATCTTGTTGAGTGCTTCTCCCTGAAACAAGGGAGGGATGGAACAGGGTTAACAAATAGCAAATTGCTGGAGAAGGTTTAAAAACTATTAAAGTCTACTGTGAAACCTAAACCTTGGTTCTATCTCCTGCCTCCTTTTCAACTTGGGGCAATATCACACATTGCAACAAAACAGATTTAGTAGTGTCTGCTTGAGAGAGATCCAGAATCAATTTTTGCTGGGCACAAATGCATTGCAAGGCAGTGACTGCACCAGGGAAAATGCACATTATCAAGAACCACAGGACTAGCACTGGCTAGAAAAGAGGATGAGACCTACAGCCCCTGCCCTTCAGTGCTTTTGGGCAGTTCTGGTTATGCAAAAGTGCCATTTCAAACCATTCTAGACACACAGTGGAGTTTGGGACACGTGCAGTTAAGAAATGAGTAAAGTCACAGGTGAGGGGGAACTCCAGGCTCTCAATAGGATACACCAAACCCAATATGGCAGTTGTAAGGCTTTTTTGGTATTGCTGATACCATTAAATTGGAAAAGGGAAGTCAGCCTCGTGGCTGAAAGCAGATTTTACCTGTTTCATCAGGATTTTCATATGGTGGGTGCTGCCTCTGCAGTATGCTTCCAGGATCAGGCCAAACCTCAAGGCAACTGCAGGAACATGCATTTCTGACCTAGAGAAAGAAAGGAGGGTAAAGCAATTCTGACTCACTGCAGTGAGTGAATAATTCTTCCATTCATGCCAGCACAAAGAGCAGGGGGAGAGGAGGGTGCAGAGTATTAGCTGCTGTTTAGATTCTGTGTACTGGGGAGAGAAAATAATGCACCCAACCCCAGTAGGAAAACCACTGCTTGAAGTGATGAGACATCTTTCTGGATGACTAAATTGCCAACCTCTCCTTTGAGAACACTACTCAAGGACAGTTTGGAGCATATGGCTCAGAACTGGCAGGTGGCCACAGATGTCCACAGTAAATTTCAACACACAGGCACCTCTGTACACATATATATGTATATATACACACATATATATTAAAATATATACATATATACACACATACACGTTCTGAAAACAGAACCTCATCCAAACACAAACACCACTACAACAGCAAAAGAAACAAATAACAAACAAAAGGTTTTGTGTCCTCCTTGAACAATCCTTATTTCAGTCTCCCAAAGGAAAAAGCAGCAGGTCCTGGGTTTTGGTAATGACACCAAGGATCTCCCACCAATGCTTTGGTGAAAGACACTAGCTGAAGGACAGCCAACAGCCTTTAACTAAATGTGTTTTCATCTCTGCATCCAGAGCTGCTTGCTGTCTGTCTTGCTTCCCAGAGCAATGAGAGAACCAGTAAGTGCTGGTTTCACTTGATTCCTGAGGAAAAGCCCAAAACATTTGCTCTTTACCTCAGATGCCAGAAGAGGAAGTGGCCAATCTTGCGGTTGGATAATGCCCTGTCCAGCAGGAACTTGGTTAATTCACAGTCTAAGTAGGATTCATACTTGAGCACCTGGACAAGCTGTAGCAGGTATTGGAACACATCGTGATCTCTGGGGAGAGAAATGAAAAAGACAAGCTTATCTTTACTGCAACACGTGTACTTGCAAGAACTGTAAAGACGAGACTGTCAGCCTTGTTCACAGTCCCCCTCAGCAGCCCTGCACATAAATAGAAAGGGCTCTGCATATCCCTTGTGGATAACACTTACGTCAGCTTCTTTAATGAGTTGACAGCAAAGGAACCAACATAACGGTCAGGAAAGCTGAAATCCAGCAGCTCCAAGGCATTCAGGACAGGCAGCTCTGGCCAGGTCTGAAGCAGGGATATCATCTGTAAGGGGAAAAACAACAAAAACAAGGTTTTTATGACAACAAATATAAATCTAAAATTCTACTGATGGAAGAGCAGCTCCTTTGTGGAGGAGGTTGCTATTTATAGATGCCTCAGAGCAAGTTTGCAGACACCAGGTCAAAACCCACCAGTCCAATCTTCCTAGCAAGGCTGACAGGAAGAACCATCAAAGTCCACAGCAGGGTTACATTTGCTGTAGCACAGTGAGTGGAATAAGCTCTTTGAGAAAAAGCACTTTTCTGCAGCATAATAATGTAGACTAGAAAGAGATCTTTAGAAGGCCCTGTCAAAGCAAGGAAGGATGAGCAGCACAGATGCCATCCCTAACTGATGTCTGATGCTCTCAGCGGAAGAGATTCACTGACCCCCTGAGGTAACCAGTGCTGGTCTCTCACTATCAGTTAAGAATATCTAATCCAGATCCTATTTCTGCTCTGAATTAAGCAGATCTTTTCTTGTCTCTGGTTTCTAGAAGGGATACCAGCAGTAATGATGGTCAGTAACGAGTCTGGGGCAGTGCACAAAGTCAAATAGAGCCAACCCTCAACTCAGCTGGGTACCACTCAGCATAAGTTCACAGTGGTTGAGAACAGATGATCTTCCTCATCCTCAGTGATGCCAAACCTACCTGCACAGGGGCACTGCAAACCATCCCCTGCTAAGGTGGCCTCCCAGCCCAAAACAGGAACACAGACACTGGAAGATGGACCAAAAAGGGAGCCCTGGCCACCAACCCCAGCATCCTCACCTGGGCAACATCTTCATGCTTGTTCCACTTGGTGATGATGAGCAGCTTTGCCAAAGCTTGTGGGTACTGGTCACGAATATCGTACCTCATCTTCCACACCAGGTCCTTCTCATGCTCATATAGTTCAGTGTGGCTCCTCCGCTCCAGGATCTCCTTCAGTTGCAGCTTCTGCTCATGAGAATCATCGGAAAGAGCTTACATAAGGCTCAGTCTCAGCCAGAGAGCCCCTACAGGACTGGGGCATGACCCAGTTTGGTGAAAATAAACTGGTTGGGGGTAAGGTGGAAACATAGAACTTGATCTATGAAACCAGACTTGCACATTGCCTGCATGTAGCTGAAAAACTGATGCCCGAAGACTCACCTCCTCAGGATCTTCTGGTGCAGCACGGGGTTGTTCTCCATTCCTCCCCAACTCCAGCAGCTGAGACACAAAGAAAGAGTCTGAGAAAGCCTCCTCATTTCCTCTGTACTCCTGTCTCACCATCACTTCAAGCGCTTATGCTGCATTAGAGATCAGCCACTTGCCACCTCTGGAGAAGGGAATTTGTGCCTCACAGCCCAAGTGTAGGTGATGTACCCAGCAGGACCCCCCTGCTCTGAGGTGTAACCTATCTGCACATAGAGCCCCTTCCCTGATAGCAACAAGGAGGAAGGGATGAGTCCCTTCCCCAAAGGGGACACAGCTGCACACCTATACAGTCTGTGCACAGGGGCTGCGGGTCACTGAGCTCCAGGCTAACAGGAGTTGCTCCACATTCCTAGAAGAGGCATGTGTTTGCCAAGCTGCCAGCACAGCTCAAGCCACCCTGCACATGGACACAATCTACTAAGCTTCTGAGCCAGAACATGCATCACAAGGGAGCATCTATGTCCTTGGCACAGCAAATCTCCTTCCTTTCCTGTAACAAGCAAATTTCTTCTTCCACTTTAAGTGTCTGGCCAGTGGCAGTGACAGATGGAAAATCCCCACAACCACACAGCATGTTATCACCCTGTGCTGAAAGGGAGGGAGCTCTCTACTTTCACTCATTTCCCCTTTTATTCCTCTTCCTTCCTGCAGAGCCTAGTGCTGTCTGCAGTGTAAAGGCAGCTCAGTTAAGTGCATTATTTAAACAAATGCCCATCTGGGAGAGCAGCCTTACCTCAGGAATTCACAGCAAAGCTGGGGAATGTCCCTACCTGCTCGAATGACGGGTAATACACAGGGTGCGACGCAACGCTGGGGAAGCAGATGACCAAGGCTGCTGCACTTTCTGTGTTGGGGTTGCATTGTACCGTGCCCATGGGGTTCAGAAGTTCTCCTTTCTCATCTGGAAAGCAAAGTACATAAACACATGAACCCAGATCTTTGGAAGCTTTGCTCCAGACAGTAGAGCACAGACTGCTTCCAGCTCCGTCATGGGCACTGCCTGGTCCGAGCAGCCCACTTCACTTCCCTGGCCTCTCACAAGTGAAGTGTACATGAAATCTTTAGGACAGGAGCAACCTCTTATACCATACATGCAATGCCAAGCAAACAAGGCCTTCAATTTGGCATCTGGGTCTAGATGTCATCACAATATAGAGCAGTAATTGTACTGAGTCTGCTAGTCCAAACTATTATGGGCCCTCCTACAACTGCTGGACAGCAATACAGGACACAGGGCATCTCCTGTCTGTGTGGTGGAGGCTAAAGATGCAAACCAACACAGTAGCTTTATTTCCTGACATACCTGGAAAGGAGGACCACATGTGCAAGCAGCACTCCCCTGTTTTCAGCTGGTCCTTATAGTCAAAGAGCATGACATTCACCCAGGCGATAGGGCAGTCCTGCAGAGCAAAGAAAGAAGCTCATTTGGGTGCTGTAGTTGCAAAAGCTGGATGTAGGGAATAGTTAGTTCTTACCAACAAAGTGAGATACCCCCATGTAAAGCAAAGGCCTCACAACAGCCAGGGATAAGAAGTTATCTATTCTTGATCTTTTCCAAGTCTGTGAGCTGCTACACAGATGCTACAGGCAGGTAACTCTCCACTCAAGAGGTACTCCCTTCACCAAGGACCTCCTATAATGAATATATCACCCCAGGCAGCCATGCCTGCCTGCTTACCTTTTAAGTTCTCTTAAAACCAGAGTACAAGATGGCATCAGATTCAGTCATATGACAAAACCTTCTGTGTACTGCTGAATGGCACCAAATGCTCCCCTCAAATATGTCTAAAACTTCATCATTTTGCACAGCTGAAGAGCATCTAAGTTGCCTGTAAGGTCTTGCAACTCTACACTCCATGGTATTTGAAGGAGCTATGGCATATACTTCATATATTTCACAGTTTGAAGGAAGGGAGAACCACCTTAATTTTGAAGCGGGGAACACAGAGTTAGCATGACTTCAGAAAACTAGGCAAGGAACACCAGATACATCTGATAATGGGAAGAAAAGGCTTGGCTGCTCTGTACAGTAATAAACACTACCTATAAATCAAAGTTTATGCTGCCAATCCCCCACCACACCCCCCAAAATAAAATCCACAAGTCCAACCCAGTCACACAAACCAGTCTCATCCTGGGAGTGGAGGACTCCAGCAAGTGCCTGGGACATGGCAGAGAAGCCTGTCTCCCTGCCATCAGGGCAGACAGATATATTCCACAAATGACCTAAGATTTCCTGCAGTCAGGTTCCCCAAATGGAACAGTTTACCTCATATAACCATTTACTTCATATAACAGCTTCAGCAACACCAGCAATTCACTCAGTTGCTCAGAAAACACCAAGCCTTAAGCAGACATGAGCATAGAAACTGGCTTGCAAAGAGCTCGTGAGGCAAAACTGTAGTGAAAGGCACCCCCCAAAGAGAGGAATATCTGAAGGGAACCCCAGTGACACATCCATTTGTTCCACTGAGGCATTCTAATAAGTATGTATCAGGCTTACCCCAAAGGTCCACCAAAGGACTTGGTGGAGGTAGCAAAGTCAGCATTTTCCTCTAATGCAACAAAATTAATCACTTCCAAGTGGCCTTTCACAAACCTCTGAGCTGATGTGATTAGTGAAATCCCATTTGACATATCAGCCTCTAGATCATAGGGAAAAGCCAAACAAAACACCACCAGCAATAACCTTTTCTCACAGAGTAAGTGACATCAAACCACAGCACAGAGCCCGCCAAAACACAAGGCAAGATTTCTGGTGGATAATGTCCAGCAAAGCAACGATTCAGCATTGTAAGGACAGAAATATCTCCTGCATGACTTACAGAAACACTGAGCCAACCCTCTGGGTGACATTAACCCTCTGACTCATCCCAGTCAGCCTGCAAATGTGCCTGTTTTTGTGGTAGTAAATGATTTAGTCCCACCTCTCTGCTCCACACACAGACAAACAACATGCATGTAACTAACCTCGAGTTCTGTTAGCAAAGCAAGCAAACAGATTATTCATCAAACACAAAAATCAGGGTGTGCTCTGGCTGTAACCTCCTCTCACCAACCGTTTTAAATGGGATCTGGCACCTCACTCATTGCTGCAGCTGCCCATGTGGAAAAATCCAGCTCTGCAGAGCTCAGCTCCAGCAAATACTGTGATTTTATATTAAGAGCTCACCAGAATTCATCCATCCTTTCTCCAGTACCAGGACACACGTGAACAAAATCCTCTTAACAACTCAGCTACCCAGGCTGGTTATGTTTTGTCAATCAGAATAGCAAGATTTCCTTCTGACTGCTTCAAACCTGAAAATTATTCCAGTGTGACCACAGAAATGCAGGCTGTGGATGAATCAGATATTCTGCTCAACAAAAGCTGCCAGCAGGAGTTGGAGCTCTGCTATTCTTAAGTGAAAAAACAACAACAAAAGGGTTGATCCTGGTCCTGGCCTCAGAATGTTTCCCAGTCTGAAGTCTCCAACCCAGCAATTGGTTCACACAAGCAGGACTCGTGGGTTGCCTGTTGCTCCCCAGACATTAATGCACAGTAACCCTGAGAACCCTATTGATGTGAACACAACAAAGCTCAGTGAACCCTTCAGCAGCAAAAAGGAGCTAGCAGAACTGAGACTCAAAAGCTGTGATCATGTTTGTCAGTCCCTCGTTTCTCTGCACTCTAGTAAAGATGGCATGACTAACCCCCTCTTTAAAGCATGGAAACAGTGTTTTTGCGGCTACAAAACCAATAATTTTCAGAGGAACAAATGCATTTGTTGCTCACGAAGAAAACTCTTCAAGTGCAAAGAGCTGGAGGCATCATGCTTAAGTTACAACACTGGGAAACCAGTGATTCAATTACAGGCTACACTTAGATCTACTTTTAGTTACTAAATTATTAATGAACTACAAGTTTTGGAAAAGAGATGAGGAAAGTGAGACATATCGCTACATCTCTGATTCAGAAGCTCAGAACAAGAGCTTCCAAAGTGATTTAACACTTTCTATCCTCAGTTTGCAGCATCCTGCTGCTGTAACCTTGAAAATTCAAGGTTAGATGCACTTTTCATTTTACCTTTCCTAAAAAAAGGTGTGCTGTAACCAGTTTTTACCTTCCTCATTTTCTTCCCCTTTCTTAACTGTTAACTTGCTCCATGGGAGATGTGGATGAAAGACTTTATTAGAAAGAAGGCGCAACACAGAAGATGGTTTAACCTCAACTGTAAAACAAGGAAGTTGCGGAACAGCAATACAAAGACACTGACACAAATGATTCCTCTTTATGTGCATTCAGATGCTGGGTATGTTTCTTAATGGTCTTTCTGGACCAGAAATTACATTTAAACAATCTTTCCTACAAGCAGCCACTCCTCAGTTTCCTGTTCCTGTTGAAGATGTTACTGGCAATCATTCTGTAAGGCCTCTTATTAATGAAGTCCTACTCTGAAAGCAAAAGGCATTTAGTTCAGAATGGTGCCCTCCAGCACTGGCAAACCTGGCTCAGCCCCACGCTGGCTCTTACTTACAGCTTTCTTGGACTTCTTCTTGGTGGAACGTGCCTTCTTTGCCTTCTCAATGACAGCGTAGAGGGCAAAGCAGAGCCGCGCCATACGGGGAAGATCACAGATGTTGATATCAAAATCCAGCCTCTGCTTCCACACGGGCTCTGAGCACACGTTCACTTCAGAGCTTGACACCGTCTTGCACAGCATCTCATTGCCATGAAAGAGCCCTGCTTGCACCACCAGCTGAGGGAAGGAGAAAGAAGAGAATGTCATGAATCCGCAGGGACTTGATTTGTTCGCTGGAGATATGTGATGAGAAGAGCTGCAAAATGATGGGGCACTGGGCAGAAGAACTATTTGATTACCTGTTTCTTTATAAAGCCTTGCCCTGCATATGTGAGATATTCTTGCCCCGTTTCCTTCCTTTCCCTATGGGCAGCCATTCCCTTCCCTTTCTCCTCTTTCACCTGCTTCCCCTTCGTGGCAGACATCCTGCAAATCCCAGGGCTTTGCTGCTTCATGCCTTCTCTCTTACCTTCACCTGTCAGAACCTCTCCCATCATTCTCTCTTCTCAGAGCTGAATTTCCCCTTCTTCCCTGCCCCTCCATGCCGCTGGCAAGCGATACTCCCACAGGGCAGCAGCTCTGCTACTCCCATTTTGGCAGGGGAGTGTTTCTAAGAATGCACTGCTGGGCTGTTGGCTAGCAAGTTTCCCTTCCCCTTCCTGTTGTGCTGCAGTTTAGAAACTGCCCAAAGGCTGAATGAAGCATAAGGGAGGACCACATGAGACCAAGCTGCCGGCCCCTGCTTTCCTCACCACACAAACAAGGCACGCAGCTGGGAAAGCCAGAACACAGAACCAAAACTCCAAAGTGAGTCAGTACTCACCTTCATCCTCTCATCTGCATTGACCTTGCTGCCTTGCACCAGTTGGATGTAGAAAGATTGCTCTAAGGACCACAGAGAACCATAGTTTGGCTAGAAAGAGAAAAGGGTTCCTCCAATCAGAAATAAGTGCAATAAGGACTTCTCAAGCCAGCACCAGACCTCATCTCTTCATCACATGCCTTTTGCTCCAACAGGAAAGAGCACTGCATTGCAGGAGGGGAGCATGAGGTCTGTGACAGCCAGGGAAGTTGTGGAGGGAGCTGGAAGGCTGACTGGAAATCCCTGGCTCTCAAACCCCAGCGAGGGACCTGTCCTGAGGAGGGCAGGGACAACCAGCTGCTGTTCCCACACAGGATCAGCATCTCCATCAGTGGATGCGTTGAGGAGGACCCTGCTGGGTCACTGCCCCCTTTTACCTTTTTCTTGGGGAGCGGGGGAGGCTTGGCAGCAGCCTTGGGGGGGCTGGTGATACAGTTGGTTTGCTCATCTCTCATGGCAATGATAGTGGAGGAGTGTACCATGGTCAGATGGGGCGTCAGGCCTCTGTGCAGGCAGCTGCGAATGTACTGCAAAGAGAGGAGAGAGTCAGCAGGGATGAAACGGAGCCAGGCAAGAGCAGGCAGCAAATAGAACTGGCTGGAGCAGAAAACAGGTGGAAGGAGTAAGGAAAGGACACAGCAATAACCAAAAATCAGTTTTAATTTATCTCCTCTTGGCTTTATAAACCTGCAACTCACTGGACTCATGTTGCCAGAACTGAGAATATGAAGTGCCTTTTATAGCTGGCATTTCATCAACTGACTCAAATGGCTGCATTAAGGGAAAACACTGAGGAGGATTCAGCACTCCCAACAGCAGTTTGCCTTGCCAGGGGAACACAGGGTACAGCATTACTTGCCCAGCTTTCAGAAAGAGAACCCCAGCCCACCATGCAAGCAAACAGACATTTCCAGAGCCACAGTCTATAAATGCATTGACACAGCACTTGGTACCCAGGGACAGGATTAGATCATTAGCCCCCAAAACCATAAGTATCTGTTAGGCTGTTAGAAGTATCCCATGCCCTAAAAGAAGCATCCCTGTCCTGCCACTGATGTGTTGCATTCCTATGAACAGCACTGCCTCCTTGGGTTGGAGGACAACAGGTCTCAATCCACCCTCCCAGCAAGGGAACAGACTTCTTGCTAAAGCAAGACACAAGGCTCACCTGGAACTGGTACAGGGGGTAGTTCCCATAGAGGTATTCACATTTCCCATTCACCTGCAGGGTGTAGTCCTCCGGCTTCTCCACTGTCTCATGGCGGAAGACAGTAGCCTGCTTCTTGATGGCATAGCTCATTAACGTGATGGGGAACTCATTTGGGGAGATCTGGAAAGTGAAGCTCTCCTGCAATCCCAACAACACAGCATACACTGTCAAACACCAGCAAAGGGCTGAAAACAGCACAAGGAGCAGCAGTAGCTCAGCAGGTAGGTAACAACATTCCTGCTACTGACAATAAAGACAAGGACAGGAAGGCAGAATTACCCCCCCACACACACATGAGCAAAGAAGTAGGGATGTTTGCCAAACCAGGCAGGAGCATCTTTCAGCAGCGCAACCACAAGACTGGAAATCAGGAACTTGAAGTCCAGTTCAAGCAGACTCATCAGTTCATGTGGTTGCCAGTGATTAAAGATCATCCCACTCACTCCAGCAGCAAGGCAGAGGGTGGCTAGGGTCACCATGCTCAAACACACTGCTCTGGAAGGCCCTTCTCCCATGGGGTGACTCCTGCCTCGTGCCAGACACGACATGCAAAAATAACACCAACCCAAGGGTAGCAGGCAGGAATATGGGCCCATGGGCATGCAGCATATGCTGAGCATGAGCTGAGCAGACTCTTGGGTTCTAAAGGAAAGGCATGTATTGGATTCTGTGCTCCTCTCCTACCCTAAAAGCTTTCTGCCACATGCAGGAGCCTCAGCTACCAGCTAACCAGTACACCCAATGCATGTTCAGGAAGGGGAACAGCTCCCTTGGTTGGAGGCTCAGAGTCTCCCTCCCAACCATCTCCACAGGAGAATGAAGATGAACACTGAACACACGGAAACAATGTGTGTGCACACATTATTCTGTCTCCAAATGCTCAAACGTTCCCAAAAGGAAAGCACAAACCAGTTAAACTTTGCCACAGAAAAGACTGTGCTTTACCCCTCCAGACTGAAACTTGACGTTGACAAAAATGTTCTTGGTGGGGATATGGAGAGGGCCAGTTCCAGGGCCTTTGGCCATGGGCTCCAGCTGCAAGGGGAAGTTGTACTCCATCCAGGCTGCCCAGCTGAGCTGCTGCCGCTTCGCTGCTCTCTCCTCGCAGAACTGGCACATTTTGGTGCGGAAATCATTCACCTCTGGGTCCTGCACTGAGTCAAACTCATGCAGACCTTGTGGAGAGTAAGAAAGAAAGGCAAAATAAGCATCTGCACACAGTGGGGGAAATGAGCCTTTGGTAATCACGTGCCTGGGAAACAGTCTTCCTAAACTCATGCTCGAAGTTTGGCCGAAAGGAGAAGTCAGCCAAGCTATGAGCTATTGTTTATTTACTATGTACAAATGCACCCAACTCAATTACTACAGCCCTCTGTCAGCAGGACACATCACAGAACCACTAGGGTTGGAAGGGACCTCTGGAGACCATCCAGTCCAACCCCCCTGCCAAGGCAGGGCCACCCAGAGCAGGTCACACAGGAACGTGTTCAGGTGGGTTTGGGATGTCTCCAGAGAGAGAGACTCTACAACCCCTGTGGGCAGCCTGTTCCGGTGCTCTGCCACCCTTCTTGGGTCTGCACACACACTATTCCCTTACCAGACCCACCAGAGACCAAACTTGCTCATTTCATCACCTGCATAAGCACGGCTCCATCAGTATTCCACACATAGCAAGGCTGTCTGGGACAGAACCATGTTTCAACACCCCTGCCACACTGCTGGTGATGGGAACTGACCTTTTCCAATGAGCAGGCTGATCTGGGAGTTAATAACCTTCTTGACTCTGTCTCCTTCCCGAGCCACGAGCCGCAGCACCGGCAGGAAGGGCTGGATGTCACAAAGCCGCCGTTGCTCGTCCTCCAGCTCCTGCTGCTCTGCTGTCTGGTTGATGCACGTGAAGACATAGGCCTCAGGATCACTGAGCATATGGTACAGCGGCTCATACTGAGCATGTTTCCACACCACCTGGGCCAGACCAACAGCAGGGTGAAACTACTGCTGCACTGCCAGAACATCCTCCTCCTCCGAAGGGTCTTTTCCAACCTAAATGATTCTGAAGCCACCCCACAACCCCATTCCCCCAAGATACACCATTTGGTAAAGGCAATGCACAGCCAAACCTTCCCGCAGCATTCCTGGAGCTGCAATCACAGGCTGCTTTTCAGCCAAGTCTGGTGGCTCCAAGTTGTGCTGAAGTGCTGGGCAGATTTATTTGCAAGTGCCTATAACTGACTTCTTTTCATGCTTGCCATTTGTTTCAGGCAAAGTAAATCCCTCAACCTGAGTGTTTAAATAACCCCCACCTGAATACCTCACTGGAAGTACTGACTGACTGCTGGCCTTGTGAACTAGAGGTATTGCTCCCACTGGAAGCAAAACTCAGTTAAATAACTTGTCCCCAATAACATAAAACCTATGACAAGACCCGAGAACCCTTCATCCTCCACTCCCAGGGGATGGCACTTCCACATCACTGTTCCATTTCTTCACTCTCATCCTAAGTGCCTGTTACAGGAGACAAAACTCCAGAGTACATGAGCCTCTGGTCTGGCCCAGTGCCTATGCTGGCTGTGAAACACAGACCTGTAACTTAACAGCTGGAACCAGTCAGCTCTAGTTATGGTTTTAAGGTTGGTTTTGGGGTTTTTTACCTGAAAACTGCAGCACAAGAAAACCTGTAATAGTCTGGCACTGAGCTTCTGTCCCTTGTGATCTGTGACTCATCTAGGCCAGGCTGCTGCTGCAGAGAAAACCTTTCCCACTGTTTTCCTTCACTCTCCCCTAACCCGGCTTCCAGCCCAGGGAAACAAGGAAGCAGCTACATTTCATTTACACAGGCTTTCAACTACAGTATCTTATTCCTCAAGGAAGCACTAAGTAAAATCATCTCTATCATTCCCATTCCCAATTTTCAATACTCAGTTTCTGGGAGCTGGGATCCTGAATACTTCGAGTCAGTCCAGCATCTGTATTTGACTATTTGGGAACTACTGCAGATAAGACTGTGGTACAAGACTGTTACCTGCTTGATGGTGCCCAAGCTGGCATTGCAGGACACAGAAAGGTTTAAATATATGCCTGTGGGCAGCAGAAAGTCCACCTGGATGTTTTGGTTTTCCCCCTTGGACCAGAATTCCATAGGGCAGTAAATGCCTGGGGGCATCCTGCTCACTTCTTAGCTACCACCTGCAAGAAAAGGGAACAAGGTCTGTTGCTGTTGACTACGTAATACCTCCTCAGATCTGTGCTGGGCTCTGCAGAAAGTTAATGTGCAAAAGAACCCAAACAAAGGAAGATTCACCATATTCCCACAGCCCAGGAAAACATGCAACTTAATCACCAGTCCAGTGTCTTTGAGCTACAGAGGCATTCTTGCTGTGGCATTTGCTTCTGCCTCAGTGCAGAATCCTTTCTAGACTGGGATTAACATCAACATCTACATCTGCATTTGACAAAGGAATTAAAGAAGTCTCTCCACTTGAGAACAAAGGCACTTGTCCCAGTAAGCTCATCTATGACCAAGCAGCCAATACAAACAGTAAGTCCCTACCCCTGGCTTGGTAAGGCAGTCCTCAGGCCACATGCTCCAAGCTCCACTTTGTTTTTCCAGAGCTCAGTTCCAGCCTGCAAGAGGGAGAAAGAGATGTTGCTGGTTCTGAGTGTGCATTTTTATACACACAAATAATATTCCACTGTATATTCCCCTCCCCTTCCAAGTACAGGAAAAATATGTAAGGCTGGGGCAATCAAAATAGGTTTGTTAATTCCATTTGCACCCTTTCACTTGGCAGGGCTCTACAATTTATTCTTAGTGTATCCAAAGAACTCAAAGAAGAGAAAAAGAGTCTGAGTGCTATCAGGTATAGACCGTTGGTTTCAAAGACAGGATAAGTGCACACGTCACAGCTAAAACAAAAGGTATTGAACAGAAGCCCATCGTACGTTTGCATTCTTAGAGACATGTAACACCACAGTCAAAGAAACCCTCATGCCCCATCAATTTGCCCACAAGGAAACTACTACAGCTGTATAAAACTCCTCTAACAGATAACAAGCAGCAGAGTGTGGTGTCCCCATATGCAGGAAGAGCTTGGAACTGTTAGCATTAGCTCCTAGCAAGAGACGTGTAAGTGTTGTAACTCTCTTCAACCACCTCAGCAGAGAAACCAACTCACCCAAATTCCCTCTCACTTACCAGCTTTCCCACCAGGTCAGCAGAGAAACACCAGGAGCGCAGCCTGGAGGGTGCTCACAGAGCCATGGCTTGTAGCTGCTGTGGAAAGCCAGGCTTCAGCCTCCTGCCAGCCTGGCTCTGCTGGGTCTAAATGCAGCCCTGCACATGTCCCGAGCAATTCTGTGCCAAGTGTCCTCAGGCCATGAAACCAGGACCAAATTTGCCCATTCACAATTCAAAACATGGCCGTGCAGCTGTCAGTGTACAAACTTCGAGAGAAATTAAGCAAGATGCTGCTGAAGATTTGGGTCTCCCAAATCATGAAGTCCTGCTGGCAGCCTTTCATGAGCTAGCCCCTATGCTTCAGTACGACAAGAAGCCCAGCATCTTATCTGCCAGTGCCTGGGAGCACAGCACTTCCCCATCAGCACTGAGGTGAGGATTCCCAGAACTCTGAGCTATGTTTTATCTGTCCCGCTTCCTCAGCGCACACGCTGTATCACACAGAGACCGGATACAGGGACCACAAAACCACCCATGTGCCTTAAGAAGGAGGGAAGTAAAAAGGGGGAGGAGGCAAGGTTTACAAGTTTGAATAAAGCAAAACAAGCTGCTGCTGCTCAACAACAACCACCCCAGCAAGTTTCCAGAGGATCTGCTACCTCAGCCTTGCCCAGTGGCATAAAAGCAGCAAACTACCATGACTCTACTCACCATCAGAGAGAGGATGATGACTGAACAGCTTCCTTCTGCTGAGGATTTCTACCCGATGTCACCCCTCACCAACCATGAAGTACCTATCTAAGCTATTAACGCCACAGTGCCACGTTCAGGTTGCTCAATACCTTTGTTTTTCCAAACTCACTGATTATCTCCCGATGTAAAGGGATTTTTCCAACAGAACCTGGAGTGAATATGCCACAGGAAGAACAACTCTGGACTTGCATGGTCTCTGATGCACTGTTTACCCTGC